GCATATGATGTTTTAGACGATAATGCCGTATTGCGTTTTCGGAGGGTGGCCAGCTAATGACATGAGAGAAAAAGGCCAATTTGGCTCACAAAAAAAGGCAAAAAAGGCCACATTTGAAATTAATAAGTGAATTTTTAGAATTATGGTAGTTCTATTAATTTGCAGTGCATGCATTTACTCTCAAGGCCAGACAGCAAAAAGTACACCAATTTTACCAAGTGTACGCGCTGAATTACCGCCAATCCTACATAAGCCGCCAGGCGCAAGCCTGCAGCGAATTGCGCGTTACTCGCACTGAATCGACACTTTTGCGGACCCGCCTGCGAACTCGCCTGCGGACTCAGCTCAACCGAAGGACTCATAACTCCTACAATACTGAACGGATTTGCTTGAATTTTGGATTATAAGTAGTTATTATCGATATGCTGCGGCAGGAATTATTGCAGATTTTTACATAAATTAGTTTTTAATTAAAAGTAATAAACGTATTTTTTAATCAACCGAAGGACACATATAACATCTACAATACTGAACTGATTTACTTGAATTTTGAAATATAACTAGTTATAATTGATACGCTGCGGCAGGAATTATTTCAGATTTTTAGATTAATTAGTTTTCAATTAAAACTAATAAACATATTTTTTAATCAACCGAAGGACTCATAACTCCTACAATACTGAACGGATTTGCTTGAATTTTGGAATATAAGTAGTTATTATCGATACGCTGCGGCAGGAATTATTACAGATTTTTACATAAATCAGTTTTCAATTAAAATTAATAAACGTGTTATTTAATCAAACGAAGGACTCATAACTCCTACAATACTGAACTGATTTCATTGAATTTTGAAATATAACTAGTTATAATCGATACGCTGCGGCAGGAATTATTTCAGATTTTACATAAATTAATTTTTATTAAAACTAATAAACATATTTTTTGATCGACCGAAACACTCATAACTCCTTCAATACGTAACGGATCTGCTTGCAATTTGGAACATAAGTATTTGCTGTAAATTCGCTAGTTTATGAATATTCAAAATTAATAAATATCCAAAATTTTGGATTAAGATGCGAAAACTTGAACATTGACGAAATAGTTTCGAAGAAGCGCACGGTGTTCACTCATTGGGAAACCGACGTTATATAATGTTAGTCATGTGTGTTTGCCTAGTCTCGAGTTGCGATAGCTCCTCAAAAGTTGTTTATATTGTTAAATGGGCCTTGCATGACCGATAATTTCCAAACAAACCAAATACCATCTAATTCTCCGGATGCCGTTAGAAGAATTGTAGGATTATCTCATAGAAATTAGTTTCCTACTGTCTGATCAACCAACTGGGCATTGTTCCATATATTTTTACATATCCAAGTCTTGAATTTAAAATACTCAATGCTGTTTATTGCCATTAATGCCATCTTGCCATTTCAATGACATGAAAATAAAGGCCGCGAATACACAATATTACAGTAAAAAATGTAATATACATTATTTCACACGCGATATCTCATTTTTACCAAACCAAAGCCTAACACTCATTTTTTTAGGTTTAATACACTATTAATTAAAAGTTTGAATCCCTTTCTTCACTCATCAAGTTTGTTCGCCGTAAAATAATAGCATTTCATTCATATTTCTACTACCTACTTATTATCTCATCTACACGATCTGTATAAACACTCACATAATCGTCCATATTTAAGCGGACTTTTACAAAAAGATTTGTATCGCTATTTTTACAGTAAACTGTAAAATGGGTCGGGCTGTACGTTCATCATCAAATTTCCAAAATTTAAGTCTTGTGTGCTTTTCGCTTTAATCATGAATCTGCCCGACACACGTTTTTTTGGGGTGAACCATAATTTATTTTCTACTTTTAAGTCCACAAGAAAAACGTGTTTTTTTAAAGTTTTTTTAAGTATTTTATTTTATAGCCATTCATTTTTTGCTATGTCCTTAATGTGTCAGAATATACCGCGTTTACCCTAACTTACATAAAGGTATTCTTTTGAAAACAAAAAATTAAAAATTGAAGATTGAAATTGCAAAAAAAAATAATAATAATTTTTTCTGAAAATTTTTACTCATGAGTATTGTTATGTAAATTTGGAATAATGTTACCTAGCTTTTGTATATTATTCTTTATTTTTGTCACAAAAGAGAGAAGAGATTATTCTTTTCTTGGTTCATTTTGTAGCTGAAAAAGCACATCTAAACTCTAAAGCAGCTAGCCCTAACTGCATGTCTGTGTGTGCTCTAGTAAGTTTTTGTGTAAAGCAATTTCACAAATATATAAAATGAATATTTTTTAACAATATGTAGGTACAGGGTGCGGCGCGGGAACTTACTTATTTGAATTGCGCGCCACGTGGCGGCCATTAGTCCTAGGAAGGTGGCGCCATGCGCAATATGGTGCGCGNTGGGGTAACTTAGACCGGGTGGTAAAATCAATTATTTTTTTTGGTAAAATAACTCCAAATAACTCCAGGTTTTGGTGCATTGTAGTAGAACTCTTCTAGTTACATATGCAAATGACAAACTTGAGGAAAGTGTCATAGTTTGCAAATGGGGGCACCGCCCCATAATGTGGAAATGTGACTACCAAATGGCAGCCCTGACAGGGTAATATTGACTGGCTTGGAAATTAAGCTAAAATTACCATATATAAGACTCTGATGAGTCTGAAACATAAAGAAAAAACATAGATAGGTTGTCAAACATGAAATATGTTATATATGGTAATTTTATATTAACTTCCAAGCCAGTCTATGTTACCCCGTTAGGGCTGACATTAGGTGACATTTAGGACATTCCTAAAATTTGTCATTTGCACATGTAACTAGAAGAGTTCTACTACAATGCATCAAAACATGGAGTTATTTAACCAAAAAATACAAAAATTGGAGGGGGTACTCTGACAGGCTTTAAATAATAGCTTTTTTTCGTGGGTCACATTTTTAATTTTTTAACCTATTAGATATGCATACTTTTTAAATCTTTCTATTGTGTTATGTAGCCTAAGTATTAGGCCTTTAATGCCCATTGACAAAATTTTTCTATGTCAAATAGTTTTTGAGTTTTGGGGGTTTTTGTTAAAAAAACGAAATGTGGTCTAAGTTACCCCGCCGGTCTAAGTTACCCCATTTTACGGTACCTCGTTTACCCTACAAACAAGACGCGTTTAACAAGGCTACTACCATGGATGTACATGCAATAGTTTTAGAGTAATGCAGTTTTAAACTTCTATAAAATGAATATTTTATATATACCATCAAACAGAGTAATGAGGGACAGTTTTGAGTATTTTTTAAAATAACTTTTTACGATGAAACATTTCATATACAAAATTGAGCTCATTTTGAAATTCTTTGCAAGGGCTATGGAATGGCATTTCCAAAAAAAATCCATATACTATTGGTTAGGTGCACAAAATTGGTGGACACAAAATAAGTGTCCCAAATTACTCATGGGAGTGGGGTAATTCAGGACACTTGAAATAAAATTCAATTTTAAAACGTTTGAAGCATGCAAAGTGTACTCATCCAATACTAACAGTACTCTGAAGTCATCCTCTTCCCTTTTAGATGATGTAGATGTAGAATAAATGACATTCTGTGATTTTTACTTGTTTTTGCTTTATTTATATATTACCATATCCACACATTATCATATTATTGATAATTGATGTGACATTAACATAGCCATGGACATGCCATTGAGCATTTACAACAACCTTGCCCACTGCATGCTTTATATCAGCAGCCATGTAGCATTTCTTCTGTATTTGTAAGCTTACAGCATGGCTTGTAATTTCACACCATTTTAATTGGGTCAAGTGAATTTACTATAACAAAAAATATAACTCAGTACTCACTGCATTTTCCTGTCGACAAAAACGTGTAGTCACGGACGGATGGACCGACATGACAAGCACAATAGTGCCTTTTTTTCCATAAATTAGAAAATTTGCTGAAAATATCATGAAAACATACATGAAAGAGAAATAAATTTTTTTGTGACAACCATCAAATTTTTTGGAGAAGTAAATTGTAGTTTAGGTTAATTATTTTTCATTTTATGCTGCCCGGTGCACAATTCTATCTATGACATTCTATGCATTTATTTGTGATGACTGAAATGCATTAATTTTTTGTTGAGTGAAATTTTTTTTCCTGAGGAAGGTAAATGTAATCAAAACAGTAAAAATCATGTCAGCTTACTAATAAAACTTTGAAGTTTTTTTTATAGTGCTTGGACAACAAGATGAAAGCTTACCTCAGCCTATTCTATTCTAAATGAAATTCACTGAAAAAAAGTACTTTACTATAATGTATGTTAATTATAGAGACTGGATTTTATTTTAAAGAATATGTAAAACTTGGTTTGAATTATGTTTTATTTGGCTGCATCATTGTGTGCTTCAGTATTAGGCCTTTAATGCCCATTGACAAAATTTTTCTATGTCAAATAGTTTTTGAGTTGTGGGGGTTTTTGCTAAAAAAACGAAAAGTGGTCCAAGTTACCCCGCCGGTCTAAGTTACCCCATTTTACGGTACTTTTATTATCTGATTATTCGAATTATTAACAAAGGGCAGGAATTACCTATGTGTGGATCTTATGTTGGAAGTTAGTTAATTAGGAGTATTTGCATCAACTTTGCATTTGCTCAATATTATGTGGGAGTTTGTAACTTGAATGATTGAATAATTTTGGCTGTTATTTTTATTCCTCTTCTATTGATTTAGTCATGGACCATCTATATTGCTGTATAATGGTGGCCTTACTTAATGGTCTAAGCAACATTTATGAGCCACCCAAAAAATCTTGATCTTATCAATTATTATTAATTACTTATTATTAATTGATTATTTGATGTAATTTCATTATGAGTAAAATTAGGGTGTTGCTGGGACTGACACTTAACCTTAGACTTCCTTAGTAATGCTTAATATTTGAAAATTGATTTTTTCTGCTCTTTATTTTCAGACTAACTTTGAAAACCGCATGTACTCTTTGAGAATAGAATGTGGCGAGATGTATCCAGACGAGCCTCCCTCCATCTTCTTCGTCAACAGGATCAATTTGCAGGGTGTCAACCAACAGACTGGAGCTGTGAGTTTGCTTTTGGACTCTTATTTAATCCATCTGTATGATCATTAGGTACATCTGACCTCTATTACTTTTGTTGTCAGGTTGCTATCCATGTTCACCTCACATAACAGTAAATAACAAATATCCCAATGCTTCCAGCCCAATATCTACTACCTGTATTTAAATATTTGTAGAATTATTTCCTTTTAATTTCCTAATTGAGCCATGTCACATTTTTCAGTGTATCTTCTGAATATATTAGTATCATTGCAATTATATTTGTGGTTAGTCAAATTTTCTTTATAGCTGAGATGTATTTCACATACAAAATAATTGCATTTTTTTTTGTTTTGAAAGACAATGTCATCAACATTTTTGTTATTTAGTGCCAAAGAATAATTTCAAGCATATTTTGTAGGTCGACCCTCGTCACATAGGCGCTCTGAGCCAGTGGCAGCGTGTGTACACCATCAAGACAGTTCTCCAGGAGCTAAGACGGCAAATGACGCAGAAGGAGAACATGAGACTTGCTCAGCCCCCTGAGGGTACCTCCTACTAGCGTTCCCAAAACAGACAGTCTCCCTCCACGTCCCATTTGCGATTCAATGACCCCTCAAATGTTCCTTTAAGTGCTTCTGCTCTTCGACAAAACCGTAGACACTTGCAGCGCTGCCCTAACGTCTCAGACTCGCAGGAGTCTCAGCTGGAGTCTATTGGCAGTTCTGGTGGCAGTCCTGCGCACGGCAACCGCTTGGGTGCCCAGCAAGGGTCGCGAGAGAGCGCGGTGCTCAGCCGCGACGAGGATGGCAATTTACTAGACGTCGCACCCTCTCGCTCTTCTCGGTGCTTCAACTTGCCTGGCATGTGCTGCTTTGCGGGATCATCCGTGCATCCCATTGACTAGCTGCTTAGTCCTCTTACCTAACCAAATTAGATCGTTGTCGAGGATTGAAACATCTCAATGTTAAGTGACCAGCATTATTTAGACTGTGGGTTAGATGATTCTGAAATTTAAGGTATAATTCTCAGGGCAATGAATGACAGCATCGGGTATCATGTACCATTTTCTAGAAAATAATGCATAAATATAGGCTATTATAGGTAGAAAAATGCTTCATATTACTTAGGATGATAGTAATGACCCTGTCCAAGACTGTCTGTTGAAGTTTTCCCGTTCTCTCCAGTAACTGGTGTATGGTTGAAGCTGTGGCCGGGAGCTATACGTCATTAACTATTCTCTCGTTCATGTATGTTATGCATTTTGCAAGTCAAGGGCGCCACGCTACTGTTTTCTTACAGCAGCAACACTAAAGTTACTTGTAAATGAAACAACTCGTTCAATTTTTATTCTATGATTTAACTCATTCGGTGGATAGATTTCATTTTGCATGCGTAATTCTTCATATGAATCGGAGGGCATATATGATGTTTGAGTTCATATTAACATTTTGATCATCACGATTTGAGGCTGTGGTCAACATAATATTGTGACAAATTCTACCTTTTGTGCGTTCAGAACATGATAATAGATTAAAACATTTAATTTCAAGTTGATTTTAACCCATTTTCTAATCTGTAGACCATAGTTACATAGTCATGTGTAAAATGAAAATCAGCTAACTTTGCTCCACTTAATCTTAATCCCCACAAATGCCTGTACTAGTGAAATTTTCCTAAGAGCTCCTATCTCCTCCAGTTTTTCAACTTGTTAAGTGTTCTTCAAACTGGTGGTTGTTACCTAACACTTGATATAAGTTTTCTCGTGAGTCAATCTTATACGTTTGCTTCCCGCATTCCCCCTAAACACTGCACCTTATTTGTGATCATCATCTCACACTCTTCTATATAACTGAATGTAGTCGCGGATTATCTTATATGATGTCATTAGTGTTGTTTTCATCATATGATTCACTCGGTGTGCCGAGCGGCATATAGGGTATGCCTACTTGTGCTTTAATTGTCATTCTTTACAATGGTTTATTAATTTTGGTTCAATTTCTTGAGTGTGATATTTCTGTAGTCACGTAAATATTTCTCTTCACAATCTATCCGTCGCCGTGATGAATTTTTGTTTTTACCATCTATTAATGACCAAATTCATGGATGGTTTTCTCAAAAATATTCCCTCCGTCATTCTCCTTCCTAGATTGATATCAAGTGAATTTCTGCTTCTGCTCTGTGATTGGATACCAACCAAACAAAACATGAACATTTTCAACACTTTGCACGACATTAAATTCTTTTAATACCAGAAAATTGTGAGGCTCAAATCAATGTCATTCGTCACGCAATTCTTTATTTACAAATTATATAAAGTTTTTTTTTTTACTGACATCTCCAAAAATTTCACTGACAAAAATTTTTGGCTGAGAAGAATGAATTAATGCAACCCGGTGTATGTATTATTATTTGTTTGATGTCTCAATGCGCGCGGTTTTTTTTCCTCTTGATGTGTTATTTTTTTTCTTCTTCATCTTGTATCTAAAAGCAAACTTTTATATTTTCTGCAGTTCGGCTTGAAGGATTTGGAGGCATCCCCTGCATGTTGCTCTCAACTTTTTCCTCTTAAGCGTCCGGCTAGCTGCCCTTGACGTCTATAGTAGCGTCTTACAATCGTCAGCTGCTGGGTGAAAATTTCCTTGGCTTCTGGTTACTTCAAATGCTAAGGCATGATTTCATTGCATTGAAGACATTTTGTCTTCGAGCTTGAGTTCAACTATGCGCCGCTTGCGGGGGTCTCCTGAAAAAGGGAGACCGGGGAACCCCAACAACATCAAAACTTTGCCGCTTGTAGAAAAGTTGCTCTAAAGCACATCGAAAGCTCTTGTCGGAAACACGTGTTTCTGTATTGGGTCTGCTACAATATGTTTAGCTTGTATTTTGAACTTTGAAGATAACTGGGGTTTGTTTATACGATCTTTCACTCGCTGATCGTTTCTAAATCCAGCCATTACTTATTATTCATCCGTATTTCTATCGTGCATTTGTAGATCACAATCTGGGAATATTCAGTCGATTTTTCGGAATGTTTGAGTGTCTTGCGTTGTCTTTTTTTCTTTTTGGTTTAATAAAGCGTCAACGGAACGTTAGACCTAAATCCTTTGCATGAATTTTAATTTCAACATCTGCATTATGCTCAGTCCGAGTTTAATTTGTAATTCTCATATTAAACTGAGTTACAAATTATACAAATTTCTTGGCTTCTATAATATCCTGCTCACCACAATTATTTTTCAGTTACTCATAAGAACAGTGAGTCAAGCCAATATATATTAGTGATCAGATTTTATTTGAATTCTTATTTTGTGGGGCAGTTAAAATTTCCGCTGGTGTTTGCGCGTTGCGGGCTTCGAAACAAGACTCGTTCTTCAGTGCACTTGTACTGTTCTCTCAAATAGTTCACAAAATAACCCTCGTCTTGTCATTACTCACCTTCATGACTTTTTCTGGTGTCCTTCCAGAGCCTGATTTTCCTCTCAACAGGTATACTTCGTAATGGTCATCTGATCATTAAACTTTCTCAGTAAGACTTCCCTCTGTGTTCCGGATTTTTGTGTCGCTTTATTGCCTCGTATACTTGCTATTAAATTATGCCGTGAATCGATCGGCTATCAATATTTAAAGCTAAATTTACCAAAACTTGATTCGGTCTCAAGGCATATTGTCGTCTGATTTATTTTGATAGCAGCATCAACAATCAAGTTAACCCTTGTTGATTGCATTGGTACAATTTTACCTCAACTCAATACGATACGAACGTAAACTTGTGCAGTATGAAATGCTTGAATTACGAGCCCGTACAAAAGTTGCAGCATCGATGATTAGATGATAGCTTCTTGTCACCAAAAAGCATCTCGTGGTTAGTATTGCTTGTTTTTTTTTCCTTCAACGTTGATTTAGTGCATGGCTCAAGACACGTATGAGTTAGCTACAGATCGTTAACCGAGTCAACGTCTGTCATGGAGGTGATTAACTATACGTTGCAGAGCCTTTTTACATGGCAGACCATGGAAACTCTATGCTGTCCTGCCCTGTTTAGTTCGGTCGGTCATGATACCCTTCATATTCGTCGTCATCGACTGTGTGGACGAGCGGATGTGTTCACGATTGAAGTTCAAGGGTTAGTAGCCTTTGACTTGTCAGTTCCCGGCTTAGTTTTAGAGCATTGTTAACGTGGAACCTCGCACTAACTTTGTCAGCTCTCATAACTTCTAGGCAATATTTCAAATGAATATATGAAGACGAGCAGAAATGTCGTTTTAATTCCCTATTCTGTGATGGTACTTGCCATTACAGAGAAATACGTTCCATTCAAGTTAGCACAGTTTCCATTCAAGCTCTGCTTACCAAACCCCGGGGTGGTGAGATCAGTCTGGTCTATGACCTGATTTTATTCACCTAAGAGATATTCTGCCATCTCTGGGTCCCCTGCAGCTTCTCTTTCTAATTTTTTTCGGTCTTGTGAAAATTTATCCCAACGGTATTAACGAGACGTTGATCGACTAAGACTTCCCTCTTCTAATACATTTATTTATCTAACACGACTACTTTTTTCGTAAGAACTTTGCCTTGCTCTTACTTGACATTCAGCTCATCGTTGAGCCTTGCATATTTTATATTTACATCGGTAGAGTTCATCGTCACCGCATAGACTTCACGGACCAACATCGAATTTTTCCAGTGTGCCAGTTATTCATCTGATGATTTATCGCACGGGAAATGTGCTGGAAGATGGTACCGTATGCTGACGCTTTTCCATTGTCACCAGTTTATGCTAGCCGCACTAAAAGTAACACTTAAAAATTTCTGTAACTTGACATCGGCACACTCTTCATCCAGATTGCCTGAGAATTATCGGTTTTTCTACGAGTCTTCGTTTCCCGTGATCCTAAGGGCATAGATTTTTATATGGCATGCACGCGCGTACTTCATTTCTTCATCGTATTCATCGATGCACTGAGACTTGGCGAAGAGAATGATATGCCTAACCTTGGCTGAGGGCGACAGATTACAAAGGCGGTGCCCCAACGTGGCCTGGGACTGCTACGTAAAAAATATGTAACAAGGACAGACGATCTCGAGCATGCCTGTCTTAGGGTACGCACACAGTGAAAGCAGGTTGCCAGCGTGCTGGTTACATGCTCAAGCTGGCGCCTGAAACCATTGAATACAGAATTCTATTCGTACAGGTTTTCACTGTGAACACTTACATTATTATCCTATGTTCATTCTTGTGGCAGGTTGCCCGCGCGGGCAAACCTGCTTTCACTGTGTGCGTACCCTTAGGGTGTATTTCTGTCTACTACCTTCTTCCAGTTTTCAGCGCTCGGTAAAATTGTTTTCACATCACTTGTGACTGATGTATGAGAGTTCAGATTTTCAGTCCGAAACAATACAATACAAACACAGTAACACTTGATTAAACTTTTTGCCTTTCTATTAAACTTAAGAATCGACGTTAAAATTATCCAATTTCTGTGACTACATCAGCCTTGTTAACCATTTGTGCAACAGCTATCACTCGTGAAACCTAGTTGTGAATTAGGTCTAATTAAAATTCAATGAGAATCTGTCGCTGATTTCTTTTCAGGGCTAAATATCGCTAAAAACAAACATCGTGTTGATAACACTCCTCATAACCTTCAGATTTAGTGTAAGCTCTTTGCGCTCGGCCACTCCTCCAATCTGGCCGAAGAAGTGGGCAGCAACGACGGCGTCCCTCCCGACTGCCTGGGATGCCGGCTAGTCGGTGGTGGCGGTTGCCTCGCTGCTGCAGCTTACCTCGCGTACATCACACGACCGCAGCGCAGGGCTACCAGAGTCGTCTCGCTGGTAGCTTCCACAGGTCTGTGTTATCAACACTCTTTCTTATGGCCATGTTAGTTTATACATAAATTAGTGTCATATTGCCTCATTATTGACCATTTAATATTTCCGGTTAACTTATTTGGATAAATGAATCGATAACCTATTTTCTCTCCGAAGGTATGGCCACCATTGGAATTGCAAGACTTCTCGGCTACAAATCAAATTCCCGACACAAGAGATAGCTGAACTGGATGGATATATACCCTGTAGTGATATTCTCAATTCTGTTGCTCCTGTATGTATTAGGACTTATTAGTTGGATCAATTTCGATGTGCCTATGAAATTTTAATAATATATTCTACATGCTTGTCGCGTTTTATTTAACTCTAAACTTTTTCATTGAAGCTCAAGCTCCTCTTTCTTGTGTGCAAATGCTAATCTGTACCACTGCAAAGTGCAAGTCCGTAGACAATTCTACCTTCTTGGCCTTGTGCNGTGCTTGTTGATTTAGTGGGGGCTACTATGAGTCTGTTGTGTGCTAGCAGCCCTCTAGTAGTGTGATGTAGGATAGTTGTACTTGTGTGAAGCACGTGTTTGCATTGGCATATGTTGATGTAATTGTGATTTTGTCTGTATAAGATGAAATATGAATGTTATCTTTTGGGGCTGTTGGTGATAGGACTGATCCTTGGGGTACTCTGTTTGGTGTGTTCTTGGTAGGGATGACTTGCCATTGTAGTGAATGAATGACTGTCTTCCTGTTAAATGGTTGGCAAGCCAACGTTTGGTGTTGTTATGTAGTGTTGTATAGATTTTGTCTGTGAGTAGGAGGTGTGGGATGACATCAAAGGCTTTGCTAATGTTGATTGTAATCAGGAGTGTATAATATGCCTGTCTCTTATACACATTTAGATGTGTATAAGAGACAGCTTTATATCAGCAGCCATGTAGCATTTCTTCTGTATTTGTAAGCTTACAGCATGGCTTGTAATTTCACACCATTTTAATTGGGTCAAGTGAATTTACTATAACAAAAAATATAACTCAGTACTCACTGCATTTTCCTGTCGACAAAAACGTGTAGTCACGGACGGATGGAGCGACATGACAAGCACATTAGTGCCTTTTTTTCCATAAATTAGAAAATTTGCTGAAAATATCATGAAAACATACATGAAAGAGAAATAAATTTTTTTGTGACAACCATCAAATTTTTTGGAGAAGTAAATTGTAGTTTAGGTTAATTACTTTTCATTTTATGCTGCCCGGTGCACAATTCTATCTAGGACATTCTATGCATTTATTTGTGATGACTGACGATGCATTAATTTTTTGTTAAGTGGAATTTTTTTTCCTGAGGGAGGTAAATGTAATCAAAATTTTTTGTTGGTAATTGAATTTTTTTGTTAACTGGACCCTCTGCTGACCGAGGTTCTGCTGCAAATGCATTTTTAGGGGTGTCCCTTATTACCCTGGGGGGTGTCCCTTATCACCCATCATGCAGAAATGGCCACCATTTTTTTAATGAGATGTGCAAATTCAGTCAGTCACGCATTCACGCTTTAAGCCAACACCTGTGTGCAACTTTTATGTAAGTATAAATTTTTTAAATGGCAGATATTTTTTTTGCTACAGACCTCAACAGAGGTACTTTTCCAAAATCTCACTTTTCATACTTTTTGGGTGATTTGTTAGAGGTTTTAAATGTATGATTTCTTAATTTGCTTTATGCTACATTGATAGTAAAAGTGTTGAACTGTACCTACACCACTATTTTTAGTTTTGCAATATTTTGATTAGTTTAGCTGCTACAACATTTCCACGAAATGTGGGATGACTGTTCCAATTTACCCTGCCCATCCCTTATTACCCTGTTTGACAGTACACAAAATATTGACAGATAATTTGTTTGTTTCAGTAAAAATCATGTCAGCTTACTTATAAAACTTTGAAGTTTTTTTATAGTGCTTGGACAACAAGATGAAAGCTTTCCTCAGCCTATTCTATTCTAAATGAAATTCACTGAAAAAAAGTACTTTACTCTAATGTATGTTAATTATAGAGACTGGATTTTCTTTTAAAGAATATGTAAAACTTGGTTTGATTTATGTTTTATTTGGCTGCATCATTGTGTGCGTTTATTTGCATTCAATTGTCCATTTCAGCTGTTGTGCCAAGGAATTTTCGGTTGTTGGAGGAACTGGAAGCTGGACAGAAAGGTGTGGGTGATGGAACCATCAGCTGGGGTCTAGAGAATGACTCAGACATGATGCTGTCCCACTGGACTGGCATGATCATTGGGCCTCCAAGGGTGAGATGAACAAACAATTTTAATTTTGCACTAATTGCTGTCTTCACACACATCATGATTATTAATTTTCTTCAACTGTGACAAAAGTTCGATACGTGAAATTCATCTGATGAATAGTTCTTTTTTTCGTGGAAATCAATCCAATGATTTTTGGCATTATTTGCATAAAGCAAATAATGTCCGGAGACTCGCTCTCCATCACATATGATATAATCAGCGTTTATTGGGCTGTATCGCCGTAGGTTGTATTATTATTATTTATTAGGCTGTATCGCCTGTATATCAGGCCGTAGGCCTGTCGCCGATTCCTAACATCGAAGAACATTCACAGCATTTTGCGGTCTCAAACTCGCAACTCACTGCTACAATTCTGCTTTGCTTAATTAACCGCCCGGCCTATTTGCCGATTCTGACCAGAAACTTCTCGTTTTTCATATTCTAGGTAGTTAGCAGGTATTATTAGAGTGCCAGTCAATCGAAATAAAGTATATCACATCTGGTTAGATAACTTAATTTTTAAATTATGTTTTTTAAATTGCATTTCGTGACTTAGATTGGTTTTTTAAAATATTTAATTATTGCTTTTTACCGAATGTTTCTAGTAGTTTCGGTGTCCTCATACACTTAAAAATAAAAATTCGATTTGACCTTTTATAACAGGTTACAAGTTTTTGATCATAAATTGTGAAAATAATTGATCATATAAATTAATATTCATCTTTGTATGATAAACATGATGCAGCTAAACTGTGTTGGAGCCATGTGAACTAATCTGTTAATTCCGCCATTGCTGCGTATTTTGACGGTGTAGTGCCGTGAGTCTCCGCTTAATTTGTGAATTTACCAAGTTTTTCATGATTTTAAACAACTTACAAAGTAAGTATATGAATTTGTACTTACTACTTTTTCTATTGCATTTCATTTGAAGCGTTTTTTTGGGTTTATAAGCTTAATGATGACTTGATTTACTCCATGCTGCTTGCACGGATTAGCTCGGCGATTGCTGTAAGCTCGAGGTCGAGATTGAAGTCTAGTTTCCCTGTTGTGGGACACATTTTTGAAGCTATGAACTTGCTAACAATACCACGGATATGATTACTGTATAACATAGTTTGCAATTTTGTTTTGAAAATGTTAAATTTGTAAAAAATTTTATTAGTTCATGAAATTATATACATAATGATCTGCTAATTTTTAAGCTATCAGTCCTAAGATGAGATTTGAAAAGACAATAATATTTAAGAAATGGACATGGTCCTATGCAAATATTTCTTCCGTTATTTATTCTTTCATTTTTCTCTCATTGACTCTCTAAAATTCTTGTCATCCTCATCCTCCTCTCTTCTTGACTTAGCTTCAATTAACTCTAAATATACAGAGATATTTTTTCATCTCTCAATCACAACAACAGTTCATGTTTCTGACAAACCTGCAATCTGATCTTTGTCCTCTGGTACCTCATGCCTTTACTGTCATGTCATCCTCTTAACTCATGATCATCTCCATCATAACTCTTCTTGCTGTCTCATTCATAACATTTTATTATCAGATGCTACAGTTTCCTTTGCACTCATCATCACATAAGTAGCACTCCTCATCACATTCCACATGACATTACTACACAGCACCTCTGTCCTCTAGGTCTCCATCTCTGCCATCATCATTCATACTTAAGCATTGTCTTGTCTAGCAGGATACTGCAATATGGCACTGGCAGTATTCCTGATTATTGAGGGTGGATGCAAAAGCAAGTTTAAATCTAAAACGCAATTATACTGCATTCATGCAGCACTATTTTATCTTGTACAATGGCCAAGAGAAGAAGAATTGCAGTTGAGATGCATATGGGCTAAATGGTAAATTGTGTGTAGATTAATTCCCATTTTAATTGTCTTCAATATACTATCTATAATGTCAATTTTGAACAAAAATGAAACTTCAATGAGATGTTATAAAATTTTGCTGGAAAATCATGTCTCAAATAAAAAATTTATCTGATTAAAAGCAAAATTTTCGGTAGGTGAATAGTGCACAAATGAATGAAATTATGAATCTAAAAAAACGACGGAAACAGAATCGAGCATTGAACTGCAAAAATTGCTTTACACTAGAAAGTCTTAAGTGTGAATATTACAAGTAGTGTAGGAAAAATATGACATGGTTAATATTCTTCATATTGTATTATTGTATTGTATGGCAGATATAATAAATAAAATGTATGTAAATATTACCTAAAGCAAGATTATGAGATCACCTAAGTCAATCATAATGAACAACAATATTATTGCCACTATAAAAATGTAAGCCTCCGGAGTCCTGCACATAACGTAATAGAATCAACTGGAAAAATGTGTCCTTGGTGCTGAATGTGATGCATAGCTATGACTTGACTATGTTGTGCATGTTAAAAACTTTTTCTCAAGGCTGCTCCATTATGAAATCATATAAGCAGATAACCGCATCAGGATTTGGAGAACAAAGAAGTTCAGTTCAGAACAAAAGCAAAAGCTTATGAATGAATTAGGGACTTGAACCTTGGTCTGTTAAGGTGTTAGTTATTTATTAATAAGAATGCCCAGAATGCATGCTAGAATATGTTGTAAATTCTTTTGGTCCTTCAAAACAAGGGGGAACTCTTTGAAAAAAAAAAATTAAAATGTACATAAAATTTCAAATAGGTGATGAAAAAAATTTTTATATGCTCATGGTAATGTTTTTGTTGCTTCAACAAACAGGGCATCATTTAAACATACCTACATTTCCATCTTTTGGTGTTGCGAATATTAACTTGTACCGGATTGGTTCCTTTATTGTCATTCTTTGAAATGACATTAAAGTGCAACAAAATGGGGCAGTGGTAGAGTCTGAGGACATGAAATTTCTTGAAATACTTTTATAATGCTTACCATAAAAGAATGATACTTAGATGGATGATACTAAAAGCTGGAAGTTTGCACATTTTTTTAACTATTTTAGGTCACATGCTGCTTCCTTATCACAAAGAGATGTTGTTCTGTCAAGTACGTATTTATTATGATGATTATGACCTGGAGTGCACCAACCTCTATAATTACATGAAAATTTTTGGCTCTATTACTGCAGCTGGCTATAATGTATCTCTTGGCTGCATTGTTGTGTCTTTTGGCTGCATAGTTGTCTCTTGGCTGCACAGTTGAGTCTCTTGGCTGCACAGTCGAGTCTCTTGGCTGCACAGTCGAGTCTCTTGGCTGCATTGGCGTTTCTCTTGGCTGTATTGACGTGTATCTTGGCTGCGTTTATGTGTCTCTTGGCTGCATTGACTTGTCCCTTGGCTGCATTGACGTGTCTCTTGGCTGCTTTGGCGTGTCTCTTCGCTGCTTTGGCGTGTTTCTTGGCTGTATTGGCGTGTCTCTTGGCTGTATTGACGCGTCTCTTGGCTGAGTTGACGTATTTCTTGGCTGCATTGGCGTGTCTCTAGGCTGCAGTGACGTTTGTCTAGGCTGCAGTGACGTTTGTCAAGACTGCAGTGACGTTTGTCTAGGCTGCGGTGACGTTTGTTAAGACTGCAGTGACGTTTGTCAAGACTGCAGTGACGTTTGTCAAGACTGCAGTGACGTTTGTCTAGGCTGCGGTGACGTTTGTCTAGGCTGCGGTGACGTTTGTCAAGGCTGCAGTGACGTTTGTCTAGGCTGCGGTGACGTTTGTCAAGCCTTGTTATGTGGGAGGCAGAGGCGCGGTTCTCCCCTGATCAATACTGTGCCTTGCCTCCTCCCACGAGCGTCGCAATACCCGTCTGCCATGCCTCCTTACCCAAGATAATTTTCTTGTTGTCACCCCCGTAGCATATTTCTGGCCCTAATTCTTCTTTTGGATGGATGCCGAAGTTTGCGAATGATTCGAGTTACGCAAGGTTTTCAAATCTGGGGGCAGCTCGAAGCGATGGTGCGTTAGACAGATTGTGGTGGTGTACGTCATACATGACGTGACGTCGTGTAGTGCATGAGTGATGTTGCGCCATACCGGACTGCCGGTTGCCTATAATCTATCTTGTTCCTAATCTATCCTTGTTTCTTGAACCAAGTGAATGTGTGTCAGCAGATAACTGATTTTCTGCCTGCCTGCTGTAAAAGATTCGCTGCGTTGCTAATGCTTATTTATCAAGAAAAGAGAAGCTATGACATTTCCGATTTTGTCATTTTTTTTTTTTTTTGTAGTTTTTATTCCAAATTCACGTCGGTTATTTTTGAGTGCGACAAAAGCCAGCAGTTCTCGGAACTTGAAACTCGTATAATACAATTTTTTATGGAAAAGAAGTTACGGATAATGAAAAAGTGTTACGTTTACCTGCATGGAGTAAATGTGTAATGGAGGTAAACGCGTGACTCGTGATCTCATGCTGTGGTAGTGACGCGTGACCACCTGGCCTAGGGAGTGGTGTCTGCGTGAGCTTTCAAAGGTCATCTTTTAAAGAGGCTGTAGCCTTAGCCTCCTCGCCTGCCGGCGTCGCGCTGCTCTTGTGCAACTGACACCTACAGAAATTTGTTTTGCATACCTCGCTTTGATAATAATAATAATCGCTTTCACATGCATTAGTCTGAACAATTATAAAGAATTTTTCGTTCGGTGTGTGGAATGAAATATTTCTTACGTTCGACAAATGTTCGTTAGGATGTTCTTTCAGTATTTACTGACATGCATACCTTTCACCTCCCGTCTAATCCTTCTTTGTTAAGAAGATACGAGATATGTGCGGTAAATGAGCACGTGAATTGCGTCAGCTAATGAGGGTCGATCTTTTTGCAGAAACTTGATTACTGAATATCATCCTAGCGATAGGCATATTGCAAGCCCTCATAGTAAATTTGTGTCATCAGTTCTAAACTTTATTTTTTGCCCAGTCATTGAGTTGCTTAATTTTCATAAATTGTTTATTCTTCAATGTCGCATAGATACGGTATTTTGATATTTTGTTCGCCCTTTGAAGATGAAAAAAATGTATTGTAAAGCCTTCCTTGTAGTCCGTCGTTTCCTTCGCAGTTTTATGAAGCAGTTACTACTACTATTATCACAATCCAGCTGTATAGTCTTCATTTTTTTGTGCTGGACAAATGAAGCTGCTAAAAAGGAACGAGTTCATGAAGTGTAATTATGTACTAGGAAACTTTTTTCAATATATAGAGGAATATTTTTACGTTTTAAGAGGAATATTTTTACGTTTTAAAAATGCTCTTCATTTCCGAAGCACCCCGTAAACTTCCACGGTATCTTGACAATGCGATATGTTTATTGGTTGATTGTATCCATAAATATTCTGCACTGTTTTAAAAGTCTTTTTAATAACTCAACGCTCTTTCGGTATCTGTAATACTGTATTCCTGACATTTACATAACAAAGATGCATTTTTAAAGCTTCATCTTATTCTGAATTTGAAGTCGCTCATCTCAAATTTTAGAGCTCTCTGCCTCGGCATTAAAATCTTAGCAGAAGCCAACCGTAAGACGTCCTTGAGTAGCGTGGGAGTTTCCTGTGATAGAGCCGCGCTCTCTGGATAGCCGAGTGCATGGGTGCATGAGGTGGGCAGAGATTCCTTTCATGCCGCCCGCCGACATGTAGACTGAGAGGTCTTGACTCCTATATTGCTGGTCTTACGTTGGTCTGCTGCGTGGCGTGGCATTATTTTCTACATCTGGTGGATTGCGCACATTACAAACGCGGGGTATGAAGTATCAGACATACGTAAATCGGGCGGCGAAGAGAGCCGTCATATGTTTGCATTCTGGAAAAGAGCTGGCTGTAGGAGCAGCGCATGCGCCACAGCTCGGAAGAGAGGGAATAAAAGAGGGCTGCCTGAATAGGACGGCCAGTGATCGGGATGTTAGTTGCTGTGGTCGTGAGAGTTGGTTTGTTCGTGGACTGTTGAGGTGCGTTCAGCTTTGCTGCGTTAGCCTGTCACCTGCTCTCCATGATACCAGGTAGATGGAACATTCACTTCTGCATTCTAGTCAATTTAGGTAACTATCACTGCATGAATTGTGATATCATGTGCATTTTTTCGTGTATTGTCGACTTGACGCAGCGGATCAATCGCGAAATGCGTTAAGCAATTGGATTGCGGCCTTAAGTAATACCTATGTTGGTCGCCATCCTGATCGCTCTCTAGGTTGAACTGCTGAAATTAATGCAGAAACGCAAAATATAGGGACTTGTTTTGCCGCGTTACTATATTTAACCACTTATCTGAGTGATCGAGGCTTTTTTCCCGTGTTTAAATTGTATATAACTCATTGGAGCTAATTTCATTTGTCTGTCGAAAATATGGACTTGAATCATGTTTTAAACTAAGCTTTTATGTACTTGGTTATTGATAATTTAACCCAAGCGACTAGGTCGTTATAGCCTGGATGTTCTTAGCGAGGCCGACGTTTGTATAACCTTATAAATCCTAAATGGCATTCAACCCTTCCATATGCATGGAACCCGCTGCAATCACTTTTTAACATTCCCGTAACCTTGCACATTCTCAACTGTTCTCGTGCGTATGGTTGCTGCCAATAATTGCGGCACACAACATGCTTCGCAATTATTTAAATACTGTTTTCCGTGTGCCTGAGATGTACAACACCTCAAGTACTTCACGTGCCTCACGTACAACACCATGAACAGAACGAGCCTACAGTTATATGAGCGTGTAGCTAAATGAACTGCAGTGATGATTTAATCGATTGGATGGACGCGGTCATGCGAAAAATGCCGCTGGTTCATGTTGCCCTGCATTGACACTCGGCTAACAGGTTTAGCAAGAGGGCTCTGTCACTAGTTGGTCGTAGCACGCATCGTTTTTAAACTAGCGTGCCCGCCACCCTTTCCTGGGCTTGTTGTCTCAAAATACACGTGTCATTATTTCTTGGTTACACATTTCGAAACTTCTTATCTTCTTGAAAATGATTATTTGTTGTTAACAGCTGTATTGTTATCGATCGCTCTTATCCATACGTTATTGGAATTTTCGATCTTTTCTCTTGCATTTACTCCTAGTTCAATAACACAATCCTCTTAATGTGGACTTTTGAATTCCGTACTCCGATCTTTTTTATGTTATTCTGTCCAGCCAGATGTTGAAACGATTACCTTCAGTAAAGACACTTATCTTCTTGGTGCTATTTATGGTTTGCCTCAAAGTAAAGATATCGAGCATATATCATTAAGATAAGACAATCTACACATTCTCCGTCGTTTTTAAGACTGCGTACTTACTTTGTTTATAAGGAGTCGGCTGGCTGATGTAATTGATTGAATTATTGCAGTATTGAAGGAGGACAAAGCAATAAGAGAGCGTTGAGTTCAAATTTTTTATTAATGTTTATTATTAATTAATTATTAACGATTATTATGTTTGTGTGCAGAGGGACAGTTCTCCCGTGTTGTGTACGATTATCCACGCGCCTGCGTCTCACCTACGCCGCTGCACCGCATGTGTGCCCACAACAACGACTCCCCCATAAACATTAGGTTCGTAATTATGTGAAGTTTATTTAAGTTTATTATATTAAATTATTATTTGTGAGGTAAGTTTATTCTCTTATTCAAGTTGTCGCTTCTTATTGAGCTTATTTTCCCAGCATTTGAACGATTTACTGCAGCTAGAGTTCTAGAGAAGGGAAACGATAATTTGTGATGCAGTTAGTTTTCTAGGTTCGAGATGATACAAAGGACTTTTCCAGTGTCTATAGGATAAGTGATGCACGCATCGCTTAGTTAACTAGGCTTGATAATCAAACTTATAATATTACGGATGACTGTAATAATTTTATATTTGTGTGTTACACATTGTTTGTACCTGGAAGTACTGCAGCATTACATTTCTCTCGTCTGTATTATAATTCGTCTGATGAGCAGTTTGCTGATCATATAACCAATTTCTCCTAATTTACCTTCTCGTCCATTCAGTATTTCTGTCTAAGCCTCGCGTTTATAATTTTTACAACTCGATTAACAGGGTTATTTCTCCAGTACGCGTTTTTAATTTAATTTAATCTTTTTACAGAAATAGGCAGTTTTCGAGCAATCGACACCGTAAACTACAACCATTTAGGACCTCGTGACTCTCGTGCTGCTGCTCTAGTTTGTCCCGCCGCCCTCTCACCGACATCTGCCGTGAGTAGAACGCTTTTTTTTTCAACGTAACGTTGAAAACGTTACGTTAAGTAACGTTCATCTTCCGTTCCAAATTGTTTCGTCTATATGTTCTGTTTTAGTATCAACTTCAATGGTAATTTTATTAATGCTTCAAATATAGGCCTTTCACTTTAAATCGTTTTCAGCTGACTTTAATTTTTTTTAATGCTTCATTAAATCATTGCACCTCTGCAAATCTACAAAAAAAAAAACAGGATTACTTCCCTTATTCTTGCATCAAGAATTCTATTGATTAAAAAATCTTTATTACTGCATCAGGTGCAAGCCCAGTTCTCTGAAAATTAAATGCTTCCTAAACAATTTCCAACCTTGGAGATTTATTCAGTATTGTGCAATTTTTGTATTTTCTGAATATTTCTGTGTTTTGTTACAGCCCCGACGAGCCTCTATGCTCATTCAGTCAAAGTCACTCCAGCTGCTGCTCAGCTGTCACCTTCCTCGACGCCTCTCTCCAGCCTCATGCTAGGACCGTCTCATCTCTGCCTCACTCTATCAACTTAACATCACGGGGTAACTAGACCTTCTACTTATAATTTGAAGCTAGGGAAAAATTGAGTACGGTATATTCTTGATATATTCATTACAAAAAATCCTGATTTCTTTCCTATACAAAAAATTTAGAGCACTCTAGTACTGTAGATAAAGATTTCCTCTACAAAAGAAGCTAGAGAATACGAGTACTGTCTATAAAGAAGAACTTGTACCTCTTCTTGTGGTCCATAAAAGTTAAAAAGGTTTTATCGATGGTAAATTTTTTTCCAGTCATGCTCCTTGGTTAAGCAATCCCAGTTAGTCGTTATTAAATTTTTAGTATACACAATATCATCACGCATTGTTCAATTCAGTCAACGTCAGTGGTATTCAATTTATTAATGAAGCTTTTATCTCCGGGATCATAGCGAAACCTACAGCTTTCCCTTCTTGTTGTGAGAATTTTCTGTGTTGGGTATAACATTGATGTAAATCACAGAAAAATTGAGCGACTGGTATTTGGCACGTGGCCTATTTTGGTTGTTTGTATTTTTGCACTTGCGAATAAAGCTAAACTCGATACTACTTATAGCCAAAGAACATTAAGTCTTGTTACATAAATAATAATAAAAAGTTATGAAATTACCACACACGGCATCGTCTTCTCGCTTCAAGACGACGGCTGTATGTGGACTGAAGGAATCCATTACTCACTAATTATTATTTTATTCGTTGCAGATCACTTCACTTGATGATCTCGTAGTCGCGCTTTTTTTTCCCTCCGCCCTCCTGTATGTGCGCCTAGAATATCTTCAACTTGTGGACGACCTGATCATTTCCAAAAGCCAAGGTAAATGAAGGCGGTTTTGAAGAACAATCTCTACCAAACTTCTTTGGTAGGAGTGTCACGTGACTCGACCTTTCACTTCTATTTAAGTTTTAGATAGAAATCATTATGGGCAAGCGCAAGTGTAATTTGCATATTTTCTCATGAAAATACTAGTTTTTTCTTGGTCCAAAGCTTTCAAATATCTTATTGAATATAATAATTAGCGATCATGTTGAAATAATCGAAATTTGTTTTGAAATGTTTAAATCTCAAAAATTTGTATTAAGTTGAACTTATTACTTACGTTGCATCGAAGAAACGTTAATCTTGAATATTTTACCTTGCCATCATCATATAATTTTAAAAGTAAAATGAAAATGTCTTAACACTGCTGAGGTAATTCTTAATTTAACCCCTGTAATTATTGACGTCTCCCTCAGATGAGTTACAACGTGAACCGCAGCGTCACGGACGCGTTCTACCGTTACAAGATGCCTAAGCTGATGGCTAAGGTGGAAGGCAAGGGTAACGGCATCAAGACGGTCATCGTCAACATGGTGGACGTTGCCAAGGCGGTCGGCTGCCCGCCTACCTGTGAGTCTAATTTCTAGTTGTCCTCCTTGTGAGCGCTAAGAGTAGACAAGTTAAGTAGTATGACTACCAGCGTTATGATACATAAGAGAATTTAATTTTGAGGTTTATCAGAATAAAATAAATGAACGGGCTACAAATAAGTCCAATATGCCACTATATTTACTGTGAGACCTGGAGATATCTTCAAACAGATGGTCAATTTGCACTGATACAATGCTGGCGTGTGATATTGAACTGCAGGTCAACCTGTAAATTGTATCTTTGTGTGCCTCCCATTTACGTATATGGCTGTTTAGCCAGCTCACTCGTTCAGTAGGGTTCGATGTATCAGTATGACCCTCAGGGGATCTTCTGACGCGTGTCTGTGCTCGTGAGAAGTCCTATGGCATTTCGCGCTTCTAGGGGGGATCGTTCCTGAGCGCCCCACCGCTGAGCTCGCGGTGTCTGACCGTTGGTCTCGGTTGTGGGGTTAAGTTATTATGTAGGTAGGATTCCTTAAATTTCCATTCTCTGTCTCTCTTGAGTGGGCGGCCGACGTCCCGTGTAAGCGACCGCTTGTTAAAGTGTCTTAGTTTCTGTTGCTTTTCACCTGTCCCTCCTCGTTACTTCGTCTCTTCTCACCACGCTGCTTCTTTCGAGTCAGCTTCAGCGGGCTGGACAATTGAGATCTTCCGCTCCCTTGTGGGGGATAAATGATTTTTTGATTTAAGAAACTTTCGATAACTGAGACCTTCCACCTCTTTGATGATGTTCATCTTGACTTCTGGTGCAAGATAGCTAAATAGCTAAAGTGCTTGTAAACACTTGGCCACTGAACTACCCAAATAACTTTCGGTATGGATCACCTATTCCATAATAGTTATGACCTACACCTATCCCATAATCGTTATAAGAATAAATATCTAGTACGTATTCTTCTTACCCGCATGTAGAGCAGTATAAACTGCTCTAAACGTGAATAATCATTTCTTTTATCCTAAATTCCATCTTGTATTCATTGCGGCACAGACCCGTGCAAGTTCTTTGGGTGCGAGTTGGGCGCCCAGACATTCTTCGACTTCAAGAACGACCGCTACATCGTGAACGGCTCGCACGACGCTACCAAGTTGCAGGTAACGTTGCTCATTTGTTGGCTTAGCATTGGGTATATCCTTCCAATGTTCCTGAATTTCAACTTGCCTTGCATCCAGAGTCTTGATATTATAACGCAAGATGTAAGCTGCTCGCTCGTTCTTTATTTATCTACTTATGTTCATAATATCAAAAATATGATTTGAATCATGACAGTTACATGAGCGATGCTCACAGCTACCTCATTGGCTTCAATTGGCTGCCGGGGCCCTGACATTCATTGTTCCTTCTCTCACCACCTACAGCAACTGCTGGACGTTTTCATCAAGAAGTTTGTGTTGTGCCCATCGTGCGATAACCCTGAGACGACGCTCTTCCCCAACGAAAAGAAGGGAATAATAAAGCAGACGTGCAAAGCCTGCGGCCATCAGTGCCAGCTCGACATGCGCCACAAGCTCACTACTTTCATCCTCAAGAATCCACCGGGTAACGTAATCTTGTGTTTCTTACGATTGCTCTCTAACAGTATTCCCGGAATACTAATAAAGAAAAGCTAAGCCCTATTAGTAGAATCTTGAATGAAATTTCTACATCAGAATTTTTTTAACAATTCGTATTCTCCCTTAATGATGGTAATTGATTTTTGACTTTTCGTTAATGAACTTGAAAACTCTATAAATAAATAATTTATTTCAGATGTCAAGCCTGACCAGCTGGGAAATTCCAAGACCCAAAAGAAAACTAGGACCAAAAACTTGCAGCCAGACTCTCCTAACGGCGGCACCAACAGCGCTTCGGGTGAGACTATCTTAAATAGTTTCTAATGTGTTTACGGTCATCGCGTCAATTGGTGCCCATTGCACCAACTTTGGAGGTTTTGTCTCATTTCCATTGCTGCAAAGAACATTATAATAATTGGATAACTCGGATTGAGCTTTTAACTTTATGATTGTGATTTGATTTATATTTTTGATTCGTTGTTCCCAATGGTTATCATGTATAATTTACTTGTTCTTCACCTGTCAGATGACCAGAAGAGCGATGACGACGACTGGGCCATGCAGAGTGACGTGGCAGCGTCAGAGCGCATGCGCGACCTCAGCGCAAACGTGAAGCGCCTCACTGTGTCCACGCACGCTGACCGTTCGCAGTCGGAGAGGCTTGAGCTCTTCTATGATTATTGCAAGGTCAGGCTTTCGGGAACTTGTATATGAAAGAGTAAAAGTTCTCATTATTTCAGCTAGATCATGTCAAGTAGAATAATAATAGTAATCTAGACAATTGAAGTGAATGATCTAATGAAGCGGGAAAGATAAATGATGGGTCAATGGAATTGTTTTAAAAAGTTATGTATCGAGTCGTCGTGTGGAATAACAAATTGATGGCACAGGGCAAGAAGAACAAGGGTATTCTTGTGCCCGGAGCGGACGTGGCCGTCTACAAAGACATCGCTGCTGAGGCTGACACGCTCGAAGTCAGGGAGAACAAGGGCGTGATGGTTCTTATAGAGCTGCTCTTCGATGAGAACTGCGTCAAGCAAGTGTGTTTCATTTTTTTAAGTCGTTTCTATGCTGCATATCAAATGAGTCCTAAATGAAATTATTCAATACTCTTACGTGTAAAGTAGAGCAATGAAATAACCTGTTAGAAATCGGTAATTCCATTCAAGTTGCTAACGCAAGGGTTACTGTGATGTGCTCTAAAGTTAACACTTTCAGGTTGTAGATTCCTGTCGTGTTTATTTTCATCACCTGATAACAATCAATGAATAAGTTTTTCATCGCCTAGAGCCCTAAATGTTATTACTAAGTGAACGATTGTTTCAATAGCTGACGCAGTACCGCATCTTGCTGTTGCTCTTCACTCACGGCAACGACAAGAGCCAGAAATATCTGCTGGGTGCTCTCGAGAAACTCGTTGAGATGAAGAAAGAAGCTCTGCTGCCCAAGGTATTAACAAGGATGAAACTATTTTGTAAATTTGATTTCCCTATAATCCCATAGTGTTCATCATTTGTGATAGTAGGTAGATAAAGACCAATATATTGTACATTTTCTTTGAACTAAAATTCTTGGATGTTTTTAAGTTATCTCGATGTTCGAAAAGCCAAGATTGTTAAGTAATAAATCGCTTTTGCTCCTTCTGCCATGAATTTAAATAGTCATGTGGTATTTTCAGGTGCCTCACATTCTGAAGACGCTGTACGATCACGACATCGTGGATGAAGAAGTGATTGTTGAGTGGAGCAAGAAGGCGTCGAAGAAATACGTCAGCAAGGAAATGGCTCAGGAAATCCACAAGAAAGCGGCGCCTTTCCTCAAGTGGCTTCAGGAGGCAGAGGAAGAGGACAGTTCGGAGGAGGAAGACGAATCGGATGAGGATGATCTACGTGTTAGTCTTTGTTAATTTACAATTGTTTCATTGGTAAATTTACAAATATAGAGGTTGGATAAGGACAGTTTCAGCATAGGAAGACGTTGTCATCCAGCCGCCACTTGATCGGAATTAATGATATTAAGAGTTATAAATCTCCTGATCGTAGTCGAAGATGAACGAACTTTCAATCGTTGATTGAACCGAGCTCTAGAACTTTTACTGGAGTTCACAGTAGGGAGGAGTGACGGAGCAATATCTTGTTATATTCAATTCTTGTTATTTGTGCAGATTGAGTACGACGACAAGGCGCTGAGCATGACTCTGAAGGAACAGGAAGCTAAGGCTGCGGGCCCCAAGAAACCTGCCGTGGCTGAGATAGCTCCTACGCAGGCAGCCAAGGACGCGGAGGATGATGGCAGTGACATCGACATTGACGATCTCTAGAGTCTTCTCTTCTGGCTTGACGACCGGCTGCTCATGCGCGTGTGTTTTAACTTCGTGGGAAACAGAGACGTGTGTTCTTGTCGGTCTTATCAATCAATACGACTGTTCTCTCTTCTAATGAAGTTTTAGCTATCCGATTGATCGTGGATAAAGTATGTGAATTTAGACTTCTCAATGAGGTTTTTTTTTTCGAAATAGCTGTTCATGATCATCGGCACGTTGATGCTGCAGTTCCGGACAGGTTGTTGCTCCACTGGCGCTCGGCAGCGCTGCCTCCAACCCGTGTCTTCGAGACGTACTGTACCGTTCGTTATTCGAAGAAAAGATCACCGTTTACGGCCACATGTTTATGTGAATCCACCGTCGCCGATTTACGTCTTTGAAATATCTTGCTTTGGTCACAGTTCGGTTTTGAAATTATGCCTAAATTCACATTATACTCTCCATCATGTTTTTTGTAGTTCACTGTTCAATTTCTGCGCGATTTTCTGTTACATCTCTCATGCAGTGGGTGGAGGGAACATACGACAGTGCGAGAGGGGAGGATTTTTTTCGATTGTTTGCGAATCTGCTGCCTGAAAGTTACCGATGCTAGCGATTGTTGTCGTAATCAAATGAGGTTTTTGGAAACGAAGTTGACCTGCATGACTGAGGATAGATCATTAAAGATGTAAAATGTATTACAAATACTTATTGGTCATTGAATTCTTCAGGACGTTTCAATGTTCAATCGCCTCTTCGCAGTGCGTGGATAAACAATAGCATGCTGTATGGTATTTCATATCAAATCAATATGCTCTCAGTGATCCGGCTATATTATCGCTAGTGTCGTGTCTCTTTCTTAAATAAATTAACTCTTATTTCTGATCTGAATGTCCCCGGTTTATTATTTTCTATTAGTCTTGCCATGAGTGATTTCCATTGATTTCTCAAGCATATTTTTGCACATACTTTAATTTCTATCGTGAGGCGGTTGGACAAAGTAGAGTAGTATTTCTTTTGTATACTCAGCTTCCTTTTAGCGTTACTGTAGGCTTTTTGGCGTTTCGGTGTTCTTCCTAATACGCGTGCGATGGATGGTCGTGAACCTTGTAAATAAAATTATGGTGCGGCACATCGGTTCTGTGAAAGGACCGGGCCTTATTCGACGTAGATTGCAAGAACAATTGGTTAGTTCTTAGCGTGTGACTAGCTTGTTGGGGTGTTGTTTTATTCTGCAGCTGACTATCGCTCCGTACTTTGTGGTAAATTTTCTCACAAAGCTTATCAAGAACTCAAAATCTGCATTGCTTAGTCTTGTAGCCTCGTATGCTAACGAGCTTCTCTTTCGTGTAACTGTTCTTTTGCTTATCAATTAAAAGCTGTTGCAAAAATTCCCGAGTTTGTATATCATGAATTTGATCCAGTCTCCCTCAGCCTCGTAATCACTTGGATTACCAGGGTTGCCGTCCACCACTTTCGTTCATTCGCGGCAATTTACTCGTATTATTAACCGACGGCTCCAATCGCAAAGGTTAGGGATATGTGACTTTTTTCATGCTAGTCCTGCTGTTTATTTTCAATCTGGACACGTTGGAACAAAATGTTGTAAATTGATGAACTAATAATTGTCTCGACGGAAGTTGATTCAAGATGATTTTAAAGAAATTAATACTTATTTTTGCACATTCCTGGTGACGTATCGTGTGCATTTCGTGCACTTTTCGACGTCGCCTTTTTATTGAAAAAAATTCTCAGTTGATCGTTATTCCTGCTTGACCATATCGTCCTCAATGGCACAAATATCTCCGATTAATTAACAATAACCGAATCATCCTAGTGGGGAGTGCTAACTCCATATGACTCGCGATGGCTAATGTCTGATGTGAAGTCGCTCATGAATCAAGCTCGAGGTGACAGAAGTGTTGCTCGCGCGGTTCTGAAACTAGCGCGGTCGACCGGCGCCAGTAGTATATTGGATCTTCCCAAAAGCTGGTCATTCATCTGTCACCTGAAAGCTACTTGTTGATAAGAGTGGTAAAAACGCGTAGAGGTAGATACCGAGAGGTGGCGATATCGGGAGTAGACGATGAAGCCGAGACGTTCGTTTGATCCAACGGCTTTGTGCCGCTCGGGGCCTCTCACGGTCCACTGAGGAAACTCTTAAGTCATGGCAGTCTAGAGGAGCAGTGAATCTCTTGGTGAAATTTCTAGTTCCATGAAGACTACGGCTTAATTTCAATTGGAGCTCCCCTCGCTGATGCAATTTTTGGGAGAAAAATACTGGGTGTTCTTGTTTACTTCGTTATGAATATTTTAAACATAATTTAAGTCTTCTATCTAATTGTTGGTTCAGAGCCAACAAGATACACAACAATTAAGACAATGATAATTATACAATTTAAGCACCTGGTGAAACATTTAAGGGCGAAATGATGTTTTCCCCACAAGAGTTGGATGACATTTCTTAGTTGCGCTAAAATTCCTAAAAACTTTAACCGTCTATTTCAAATCAATTTACCTCGGCACAGGTCGCACAACACAATTTTTTATACCCTCTTAGCATACAGTATTTTCTTAATGAAGGTAAATCGCATAAAGGGGACACATCTTTTTTACATGTAAGTGACGGGAAATCATTAACTGCAGGATGCGAGTACCTCGTAGAATTTTTCGAATCAAACGGAAATTGTTTGCGACGAACCAAAAATGAATTGCGCGACCACGGATCTTTTGCTGTAGATTCAAAACCATTTTCTGCGTTAGGCTTACCAGCTTCCAAATCACCGTCAAACTTTTCGGTATTGCAACGGGAAAATTTGAGGCGCCCACTCTCTCTGTGATCCAAAGTATTACTTGACAAACTGAGAAGCAGAGTTTCGTCGCCTTCTTGCACGTCCATAATTTCACTATCCTCGCATTCTGAAGTGGAGTTCTCACATTGCACTATGCATGCCGAAGTTTCTTTGGGTGGGTAAGGCCCGCAATTTATGCGGTCGTCGATGCTTAAGGACTTCGGTTGAGTCTCGGCTACGTCGATTTCATTCTCTGACTCGTGCGTATCCCGCGAGCATCGCCACAGCGCCTCTTGTATACCTTCTGATCCACAGATACCTTCACACTGGAAATGCAAGAAAAATCATACTTCAGTGAGTCCAACAGGCAATTATCCGAACAGTAAATCTGGTCAATTTATTTTTATATGCCATGAAATACTTCAGAGCCATAAATAAATAAAATACTCACTGTATTTTTATACTCACACCCAGTACTCACTGCAGTGGGTGACAGAGAGCGCATTTTCTCAAAATCGACGAAAACGTGAAGTCACGGACAGACGGATGGACATGACGAGCACAATAGGCATTTTTCCATAAATTACAAAATGCGCTAAAAAGAGACTTATTACGGTAATTGTGCCGTTGACCAAATCCTTGTCAAGCATTTGCTGTAGCGCGTACCTTGGACCACCCGTCGAAGTTCCAGTTCGCGGAGTAGCGCTGATGCCAAAAATGAAATAAAATAGTTGCAATAATTCCATTCCAATACATGCTACTTATTACAATGAAATCATATATACTGTACGTCTTACAGTATGTATATTATTTGGTTTTTATGAGAATCGGATTCAGGATTATAGTTCATAACAAATATTGAAATCCGGAGAATAACATTATTCCTCCGTAATTTAACCTTTCAACCCGAGTTTGAATAATCTGTCATAGATGCTACTTATATTTTAAGGAAGCGTTCACCTGAATATGTTGCAAGGTAAGGCCTGCACGAGAGGAGCAGGCAGATGCTCACAGCGGTCATGTGACGCCAGGGCTCCCGTGGCAGCATTCACACACTCCAACGTCGGCCGTTGCACACCTCTGCTCATCACAGGCGGAAATTAGTTTTGTTTCTTGGCTATACAAATACATATAATACCTCTTTTTATAACAGAGACAGGGAAAAACTTGAAACCTTCATCTGAATTGTTTACAAAGTTAAATATTTTGTTAGTTAATTTCTAGTACGTGTTTCGTTTCAGACACAGCTCCATATTCTAGCAATTTTTAGATCCAATTGAAGGAATAAAATTAAGATTGATGCAGAACTTTGGTTCAGCCCTTCTCTGAAGAGGGAATAATTTACCCTCCACAGGTGGTTGAACAAGCGCTTAAAGGTCCCGCCACCCAGCGGTAGTTGTTTGGGGGGTCAGGGCTGTAGTACGATGACGTCACGTGGACCGGCATTTGCACGTCTCCTCCGTGGATCTGGAAAACAAAGGGCCAATAAATCATTAACATCAACTTTTGAACAGTAACGGTCCTTCTAAAAAAAGGCAGGAATTGATTTGTTCGATCAGAAATAATATCAGAACCGATGAGTGCATTTATACAGTGATTTTAACGTTAACATCGTTCTATGCACGTTNTGCAAGTCGCAGCCCAATTCCACACATTTACCCTGGAACAACACGTTCATATTCAAAATTTTCCTTACTGTCAAATAATGTAGCAGTTAATATTAGTTAATATTAATATGTAGCAGTTTCAGCGATAATTAGGCCGTAGGCCTGTCGCCGATTCTTAACATTGCAGATCATCCAGTTAGTTTAACATTTCATATTTAGCACATAAAATGCTTTTAACTACTCAAGTTTTTACAAACCTACGCAGCAAAAACAAGTTTAGATTCACGGTTTGATTTCTATTATTAACTGACAGACTATAATTGTTTATTTTAGGCACTAGAATTCAATAACGACTAAAATTCTCACAGTCCTGCAGTATTTGGACAACTTTGAACTGATGCATGAGGAATATTTGACTCACCTCAAATTTAAAGCAATAACTCTGCGTTTAATGCACTGAATAGGGGTTGAATATTAAACAGGACAATAATAAGACTATAATCATAATAAGAACAAACTAAAAATAATGATATTAGTTACTCAACTTGAGGGCTAACCTGAACACAAATATGATGGCGAGGAGAGTCATAGGAACAAGGCGCACCGTCCCTGAGGCTCTCGTGGCCGAGGTACATTTCGTTGGTTGCGCGACTGTAGCACGACACGCGGCACTTCAGACGCTCTGAACGCATCGAGGTGATGCGTAAATTACATAGTATTTTAATCGTACGCAACTATTATTATTTTATAGTAGCTACATGGGCTTACGTATTTTGCAAACAACCCGGTTGGTACTAAGGAATCGTTCTTTCTTTTTAATAATCAACTAATCTTCTTTTACTTACTTTTAAATTTATTTGTCAAATATAATATTGTTCATTGATACAAAAATAAAACTTAGATGGTTACGGCCATTACCAACTCGATTATTTAGTTCTCTCATAGCCTGGAAATAATTGAGTCAGAACAACATGACAAATTCGAATAATCGTAAATTTCAACCCACAAATTTGTACCGCGGTACGACACGCTGAATGTTCTGACGTGTGTGTTTGGCAACAGGACTCACTGCTTTTAGGCTCGTATGGCAGCCAGTGCAGCAGAGACATCCGCTGATCAAGTTCTACCAAGTTTGAGAGCTGAGAGCAGTGGTCGGCTCTGACGTCGCTGAGGTCGGAGCAGGCACGTGAACCGCACACTTTCCATTCCTCCTTCTTACCACGACAGCTCCTACCACCCCACTGAGGGCTATAAAGTTTGCAAAATCAAATTTCGTATTAAAAATTTCGTACAAGACCTAAATATAAACATTACATTATTAAATAATTTGATAATTTTCAACCACACGCAATGAAATCAACAGGTAAAGAGAGAACAGCTTTGATCACTCTAGTAATCGCGGGTACAGCCACTTGACTGACGTATATTGAGTACTAGAATACTCATCACAGTTTCGTATCGATACTTCTCGTGTCCAGGACAATACTAACGTTGGTCTATCACAAGTGCGGCTTCTAAAGGACACCCCGGGTCCACAAGTAACAGAACACGGGCCCCAGTCACTCCAGGGGCTCCACCCCCCATGCTGGGGGTTGTGCCGGACGGGTGTGGACGCTGAACTGTCGGGGACCTCGCCGCCTGTTATGGAGCTAGAAACTCCTAAAGCAGAATCTCGAGCATCAATGTTCGTGCTACGAGATGAGCACACGCCGAAACGACACCACTGAAACCAGGAAATTATCGCCAGGAGTCAACTTCATCCGAAATATTTTTTGTGGTTAACATTCATAAATTTCTCTTTCGTGTATTTTCATACAATAATGATGAGAATTTTTTTGTCCAGTTCTTGTTAACGGGAATTCTGAGTTTTGCACAGTTTCATGTTACTATCGAATGAGCTAGAAAAATAGAAATAAAATAATGTATGTGAATTTCAAGCATCAAGGTTTCGACGTTTACGAAATTCAAATGCCGAGTTCCCTCACTTTGCCTTCACCGCATACAGTGCCCTCCAGCGGCGGTCCCTTCTTAGTCTTACAGAAGTGAGGCGTTGAAGAGTTGGCACACCAAAGATGAGTGCACGAATCTGACAGGCCATAGCTGCGACAGAGTTCGTACCTGGAAGACCCATGCGTCACATGAAAACTAGATAGTCTGGACCTGAATCCTGACCAAAGAAAATGCCAATATTTGGATTTATCAAGGAGAAATTGGAGGAAATGTCAAATGATCACTGGAGTAGACCTTCATAAAAACTCATCGAAGATATATCTGATTTATCTTAGAGACTCACCCTTCGCCGAACTCCATACGGCATTGGTCATCCAGGGAATAGTGATAGGAGATCACGGAGCTCACCGTCGTCGCGTTCACCCACGACGGGGGCGTCTTCAGACATTCCCAAGAACTGGGCGATATTGATAACGAATAAAAATTTACCAATGTTACACAAATTTACTGATGATATTTTAAGGGATTCTTTAGTAGTAAAAAAGATTCATTAAATAAGATTCCAATACGGCTAAAAATCCAGAAGCTGTAAATGGTGTATCGTAGTTAAAAGGACAACGGCTTTGCAGTACCAGGTCAACTTTGAGGCTTATGAACTCGAGTAAAGTGCAAATAATTGCAATAAATTTAAGTTCAAACTCCGACTTAAACTCACAAAAGCGCCACTAGACGTCTAAACTATAATCGCGACATATAACTTCTGATAAAGTGGGGTAAGTAGTGAAGTTTTCTTCAAGTTCAAAGTTATCCCTGTAATGCACGATAACTTTTTAAGAAGAGTCGGGCAAGAACGAGGTATTATTTAAACAAACATCTATAGCTGCTTAGAAATCGAAGTGATTGCAATAAAAATACACCGAAACAAATACATTATTCGCATACATGGTAAATTTAAATATATAAAATGGCTGACTTGACGAGGTCGAGGTACTCAGTCCTGGAGCAGCGGGACCAGTGGAAGTTGGTGAAGGTGGCAGCCACGAGGGGCGCCATCACGGAGCCCATGACGCCCTCAGACACGCACGCGTTGCTGCTGCTCGAGTCGCCGTCGTGACTCAGACCGAGGCTTGAGTAAACGAACACAAATCAACATATTTTTCCATAACTTAGAACTTTATGGTGGATTTACAAGAATTCCACCATTGTGGTGGATTTACAAAAATTCCACCATTATGGTAGATTTGTAAAAAAATTCACCATTAGGGTCTAGGGAGAATTTTCAAAAATTCAAATTTACAAAATTTCCACCATTATGGTGGATTTACTAAAATTCCACTATTACGGTGGTTTTACTAAAATTCCTTCATAGTAAGTGGTCTATAGATGAACTAAGTTGAAGTAATAGCAGCATGCAATGGGCAAGATTTGTAGGAGCAAAAAAAGTGTATTCTTGGGTAATATCCTGAAACGATAAGTATTGTGTACACGCCCGCAAACAATTCCTCTATATTTTTTATTTCCAAGCTTCAAGCACACCTACACACACTCACAAGCAAACAAACAACACACTATTTTCTACAAATATAATAAAACAAGCTGAAGTCTTTCGCATGCCTACCAGTATTTTGAGTTCTAGCACAATCGAGCCAAAAGTTCTAATAATATTTTACGGGAAGACACGTGTCAACTTTCCATTATTATCAATCATACTTAAAACATTTTAAGGTATTGAGACACATGAAAAATTTCAGCTTTGGATACTCAGTCACGTGTCCACGATACTCAGTCACGTCAGCTCACACGTGTCCCATCTCATGGGCAATGATGAAGGCTGACGTGAGTCCTTCATCCCTGTTGAGGGTGCAGCTCCTGGAAGGATGACACACGCCTCCTACAGGAGCGTATCCTGTAACGATTAAAAAATGGATTCTTAATCTCTTATCAAGAGTTAAAGACATACAGAAATACATCTAAGTTATTTATATTTATTTTATCAACTTCTGCAAAGATCTGTAGTGGATAGCCTTCGCAGTTTTCAGCTGGCATCATGAAGATAAATTATTCCGCGAGTTCTGTTCAAGCAGCAAATTACTTCAAGTAAACAAACATAAATTGTAGATTTTTAGTAAAGTAATTGATTATAAATAACAAAAACGCCCCCAAAGAGCTGAAGACGGCTGAGCTTTCAATATTCGTTATTAATCAATAGAATTTAAACCTATAAAATCTAAATAGTGGGTTCCCAGGTGAACAATTGATTTATTTTTTAAGTTGCGCACATTATTATTTGATCACCTGAATCAAATAAAATGATTAAACATGAGTAATTGATGGGATTAAACATGAATAGTAGCGAGTTACTCATAACTTAACTATATTTTATTTATTATGCTCTAGCATCATTCAAATTATATTACAATATAAGCAAAATTGAAGATGGGTACTTTGTGAATTACTATGGGTACTATGCGAATTACGAATGCTTGGTATGTAAGTAAATAAGATAATTTCAAATTATGACTGTGGTGATTCGGAAACCTTCAATATCCCGTCTTAACATATCGTAATTTCATGACAATTCTCCAAATTATACATACAATGATACAAATATTAAAATACAAATCATCCCGGACCGAATTACTGGGTTTCACACTTGATTTTTCCTATTTAAAAATTTAAAACTCAACTGACAACAAATTTTTGAGCATAAATTAAACATAAAGTTACCAGAAGGTCCACCGAGCGGCAGTCTTGTGAGCCACACAGCGAGGTCGTGGCGCAGCGGCGGCTGCGACGCGTGGTGCAGGCGCGAGGCCCAACGGTTTACGGCCTCTAGCGATGACTTCGCTTCGCCTGCCCGTACCTGAACCGCGGGCAACACACACGATTAGTCAGTCTAAAATGAATGTATTTTGCTAGTCGTATTATATAATTATATTTTGATCACTTACTAAAACTATGTATAACAGTTTGACAAATAACGCTTCTTGCAACCCATATCAACAAACTCTAAAGCCAGTTGTCGATTATAACGACCATACAACTTTAATTATATAAAAATTCAATAATCGCAGTTTTATACTGTTCATATGATTCTTTCATATCTTATGAGAGAAATATTACTAAGATATTTGCTAGCAAATCTAGAAGACACAAACCTGAGACTGCTTTGGATCTGTGTAGCAGATGAGCCTGAGTAACACCAGCTCAAGCTTGGCTCCTAACGAAGGGTCTTGGTAGATGGCGCTAACCTGAATAGCAAAAATGTCGATCATGAGCTAATTTCAAATTGAATATTTCTCCGTCAATTCCAATTAAACTAATAACCAACAACTATTAATTTAACTTCGTTATCTTCCTGAAAATAAACTAAGAACGAATGGTTGAATAATCATTTCGGGAAAAGCGCTCATCGATTACAACACCTCTATGTCCACCATCATTTCCCTCGAACACACGATCTTCATTGTTTGATTAACGCAAAAATCATCCCCAAGAAATTAGCCTTTTTTCACAGAACTTCAATATAAAATGCTTTCTGCACTGTGAATAATTGCCTGAGAGGTAATGACAGGCTCAACTTATTCAACTCACGATGTTGAAGAGCGTGAAGACGTATTGTTCGGTGCGGTCTTCGCCGTGGAAGTCTATGATGGAGCTGTCCACGGCGACGGTGATCTCGAGCCAGCGCTTGGGGGACAATAGCGCCGGTGATGTGTCTAACGAGCGCAAGTCTTCCTCCACGACACTGGGCGAGTGTCCTGAAATTTTATAATCAAAATTATTATGAACATTGTAAGTTGCATACAGATAAAATTCTTAACTTTTGAAAAATATTAGCGTTTGCCTGGTCTGTATAGAAATATTAATTTCTCCCCTGAATTTTTGGCGAGAAGTTTGAGTCACGAAAATTTGTAGACTTTTACGTTAAGTGATGTTTCGCGATCTTCATGCAAGACATCAAGCAGAAAAAAAAATTCAATAAGAAACTGATGATTTTTAAAGTAAGAGATGCAATTGCGTACCAATATGATATTAATCAAGCACCCAGCAGAAAACATAATTACTTTCACAATGGATATTTCCTTTAAATTAATTCTTAAACACGAAAATCATATAATTCTAGCAAAAATTTTCGCATCGAGGCGTTAAAGCTATATATTTTCCATACAAATTATTGCCAGAAAATGTAATAAATGTAGAAAATACGGACAAAAAGCAAATCCGCCATTTATACCCGTGGAATCCAAGCGGCCAGCAAGCCAAAAAAATAATGCGCTCTCGGATTACCTGCCAGTCAGGTAGATCATAAAAAGTGATCGAGGAGGCGGCGTGATCAAACTGGGGAGCGGAAATTCTGATAAAATCCACGAATAAGAGCCCTTTTCTATTATTTTTTTAACAGATTTTTCGTGGCATGGGCCGGAATGGAAAATATAAATCAACGGACCGTGTGTTTTGCTGGAGCAAGTGAAAGATATTTTAAAATTCAGACTTATTCAAAATACGGGAAATTTTTGTAGCATTCCATATATTTCTGAATTATTATCAGTTAATTCACGCTGTACGCAATCGTATTATCTAAATTTTGTTAACTATAACGTACATAAAGAATTATTAAATAGAAATAAAATATTACAGTTTTTATCGAAATATATTACAGAATGAAATTAAGGATTGATTATGAACCTGGCAGAGCGACCTCCCAGGGCAGGTCAGGAGAGTACCCGCCATGCCACTCAGAGCCATTCAGAGACGACCAGGGACCCAACGCTGATCCTGAGAACAGGTCTGAAAATTTACGGAAAATTTTTATAAGTAAATGTGGCCATAACACAGTACATTAAGTTGAATGGAACACAATACAAAAATTCAGTTGAAACACAGAGCAAGCAGTCAAGCACCCACCCTGTTCAAATGGAAGAGCTTGCTGCTCTTTCTTTCTGGTCTTCCGTTCTTGCCTCAGTCGCTTTCGTTCTTCTCTCGCTTGCTTTTTCATCTCCCTTTCTTTCAGTTTGATTTCTCTGGCAATTTTCCTTTCCTCTTTTTGCTGTCGTTTCTTAGCTCTTCTCTCCTCTTCTAACGCACACCAAACTTCAAGGTTTTCCGTATTTAATTCAAGTTCAATCATATCTGTGTCTTCGTCTTCGTTGTCGGTGCCATTTTTTATGAATAAGTCGGCGACTGTCATGTTTCCATTTTTTTCGTCGGGAAAAATACCAGCTTTTAGTTCACGGCATCGTTGTCGCATTTCACGGGTTCTTTTGTTATGCCGGCGGTTCCTCTTTTTACGTCTCTTATTACGATCTGTTTTCTTCTCGGAAGCTTTACCTTTATGGGCAGCGGCTGTGGCCTTACGTACAAAGCCTTTCTCCTTTTTTGGTTTAATTGCACCACTGAGGGTGGCCCGCGACGAACGCGGAGATCTCTTGTGACGTCGACGGCCTCCTTTTTTCAATGGATCCCAACCGAATTTTTGATCTTCCTGTAAAGAAATATTCAGGTGTTTCAGAACACTATTTACATTGTACATGACATGAGGCTCAGGCAGTGTAATCGTGCTTATATCGCCGCTTTGTTCCTGGATTCTTCCATGATCATCGTCGTTGCTCATCTCATCAAAAGGATCTGACGCATTAAACCGAGACTGTGGATGCATAGGTTGTCTTCGATTTCCTGATGAATGCGAATTAGTTTGTGGCTGATATTTTGGGTGCTTATGACGGGAGTATAAGGGTTCGATGAAGTAGCTGTTTTGACCAGATTGGATAAGTCCAGTGAAGCCTGAACAGCTGCTCACGGCAACAAGGCTTCGTTCTTTTCCAACAGTTGTGCCAACTAAAAAGCAATTCTCTGGAGCTGTTTTGAGTATAGTTGCACCACTCGGCAGCACCCACTCCACCACGGTGCCCTGCAGTCGAAGATTGCTATTAGGTCGCAATTGGAGCAACAGTTCATCTCCATCATTATCAATCTTTACAAATATTTCTTTTCCCTCTTCGGTGTCTTCTGTGTCGGAAGAAATATTCTCTGAGGGTAGTTCGGAAGAAAAATGGTCATCGATCTCATCACGGTCTAGTTCTTCATAGTCATAAGACTCGATTAAAGTCTCACGCTTCCTTCGTGCATTCAAGGTTCGATGAGCTGAGCTTGATTTGTCCAGTTGCCTTCCAAGTTTATCAACACGTACAGGATAAACGATCGTATGCGGCGTGTCAGGATCCACAAATTCCGAAGAAATCTAAAAATAAAAACAACGTTTGGTTAAGAGTTGCACTAAACAGAAGCTCGATACTACAGTTACACGCTAAGTAGTCTAACCTATAGGAGAGTTCATGATCCGTATTGAAAATGAAAACCACATCATTATAAAGAGCGCCAAACGTGGAATTTTGACGCATCGTGTTTGTACGTTTCTGACATGTAGTGCACGAGTTCCCTCGGAATAGGAATGGACAACCTAACGGAGCTCTAATCAATATAAATATCCCAATCATATTCACATTTACATGAAACGACTGAATATATTACTACCCGATCGATGGGTGCTCTGATCGTTGAAACTCGCTGTTGCTGAAGTTTATTAGTTTGTGGGCATGTTAACAAAATTGGACCGGTAATAACGTTAATATAGTTGATTATATAGGGCGAGTGATTGCTGGAGGTGTGAAGTATAAGGCAATGCGAGCAGTTGACAGTTTGACGTGACAAGCCCCACCCGTGCCAAATGCTGCACCGTTTTTGTACGTGAGTGCCATGTTGTGCAAGCAATATATGGATCAGCACCAGTGAATACCATTACAGATATAACCCAGGGCAGTCCATGACGAAGACTAACCACGTACAGCTTGAGATTCCAACATAAGGCCTTTGACCCAAACTGTCTCGTTTGGTTTTAATTTCTCTCCACAAAAATAACTGATCGGGTCTATACTACTACTATACGGTATATGTCTTAAAAAATAAAAATATTACTCATTCTTTTTATAGAATTTAATTTTACATTTCAAATGAGTTCCGAAACAAAACAAAACACTGTCAGGATATTTTCTTTCAGTAATTTAACAAAATATTCGCAGAAATATCCAAGTAAACATACTTGGTGTAATATTTTAATCGCTTTGAGTTTGTTCCGAATGATAAACCAATAGGCGATCAACGATGGTAAATGGAAAAGACCATTTCTATCTGAGTGAGGCATGCGTTTGATGACATTTTTGAGCAAAATTTGTCGTTTAAAATATTTAGGTTCTTATACATTAATACTGCTCATTCTTCTATACCTATAGCTTTCTACACACAAATGCAACTATTTTACCAATTTCTAATTCATGTATTCAATCTGATGTTGATGATAAATGCAATTTGCATTTTTAAGTAAAGGAAAAGTGGATTTGTATTGAATTTCTCTGATCATTATCGTAAAATATTAAATACGCGAGAGAGATGTAAAGAGACAAAGAAGCTCTGAGAAATCGCGGAAATCAGATAAAGATCAATTAGAATATAATCTAATTTACATGATATAATCTAATCTGCAGTGTCATAAACATTGAAGATCGCCCTCACCATTACGGAGTTATGAACCGAAGTAAGGAATTATCGTCGGTAATCTATTTGCAAGAGTAATGACATCGCAGAAATGTAATTAAATATCGATTCGAACAAGTAGAAACTAAGTATGCATTCTTTTTGTGCTAAAAAAAAGAAAGTTGTTATATACACATTTTTCGGCTCTAAAAAACATATTTTATTTGGAAGACGTCGTTTTAGACTGATTCACATACAATTAAATTCAAGTCTCGCTATTTTATAATAAAGGCTGATCATAATTGTCTCAGGTTTCAGTGCAAAAATTTGTTTAACTTTCTTCCAAAAAGTTATTTGAATATTAATTCTTTCCATTTGTAGTGTGATAGATATTTTGGTTTGCTTTAAATCAATCGACAACCCTAAAAAGTCATGTTAATACGAAGAGTCCCTTAACCAGATCTAACATGCACATTACAGAAGAGCCTAACTTGTACACTGTACAGGGAAAAAAGTCTATTTGAGTGCCGAAGCACTGATAACAAATACGGACTACGAGTGAGTTGATTACTGCACGCATTCGTTAACTCACTGATGAGGAGGTTATAGAAGAAAACAAACATGCGTTGGACACGACGTCCCTTGCATAAGAGCGTTCAGCCAAGCATGTGACATGTTCCTCAGTTAGAAATTAAGAGAACACGAGTATTAAATAATAAAATATGCACTTGGGGACCAAAACAGGCGGTGGCAGCAGCGACGTGTCGTGTCGCTGTCGTGTTGATGACCCGCAGCACATGACGCATACTCAGTAAAGCAGTAGAAGTATGCGACGAGAAAGTGTCACTATAACTTTGCCGTCAAGAGTTGAACTGACGTATGGCATTTAATTAATCATGTAAGGCTTCAAACTTGTTCAAGAAATAGAACAACATATTGAGGGAGCCAGCGATTGATGTTATGTTTTTATTACAAGAATAATGGCTAATCAAATTAATGCATTTAGGTTGAACGCTTTTTGCATTTTAGGTCATACATGCTTTGGAATAAATCGGCAGTAATACTGCAAAAAATTCTAACTCTCTGGAGATAAATATGAAATTTAATTGCCACTTGGTTTGCACCAATGAAAAAATGATTGCACAAAAAGACCACAGTAAGAGTTTTGAAATGCACTGAAATTAGCGCGACAAAAAAAAAAACTTTGCCAACATAGACGAAACTTGATATTGCTCGTTTGTCCTAGCTCACTTCACGCAACAACGCATGAGGCGTCACGTCTGGCCATACGTCTGGCAACATACAAGGACAATTATCATACCAAGCGAAATCGTGTGCCCACAAAAATGTTAACAAATTTTTCTTGAACGTACCAGCAGAAACAAAAATTATAAATTGTAAAAATCTTTTATGCTTTATTGTACTTACATTCGAGTTTAGCAAAGCTGAAGATGATTGTCTCAGTGTATTTTAAATGTGACTTGCAATTCAAACAAACGCTTGTCACTTATCGCTCTTAGTTAATCAACACTAGTTTATCTACTTTGTGTTATTTCATTATACTAAGAAAAATATTTGCTATTCTCGACGGTCGATTAAAAAATTCGTCCTACTCTACCACATCTTAAAAATTCAAGCTAACACCACAATGAAATTAAAATACCCTGTTATTCGATTACATACACATAGCTTCGGTCTTCTTAATACCCAGCGGATCGACGTTACTTTGACAAGGAATTGTGCATTCTTCTCTTAACATAATTTTGATATGGGTTTAGCTCAAGGAGTATGCAAATTATGACCTTGATGATATTACGCGCCCGTAATTGTAAGAATGACCACATTTAATCATTCACTCGCACGCTAGTACCCAGTTGTTGTGCGAAAGCCAAACGAGTATAATAAACTCTAGCGAACACTTAAATTTAACATGACGGCAATATTCGTTCAATGATCGTGCATACCAATGACCAAATAATAATATTATATTATTATTTATTATTGATAATAATAATTCTATTATCATGCAAGTAAGCTCCATCAAACGGGATATTCTGGTCGTCAAAATCATTAGAGACGGCAATAATCGTCACAAAATGTAACATATGAAGATTGCACTCGGGTTACACTTGACCATGACCTAAAACAGACCACACACGAAATACAAATTCAGTGTTTTTCCCAATCACCGTTCGAATTTACCATGAAATAAAAAAAAGAGTTCAGCAGTCTTTCTCGTATATTATCTTATTCAGAATAAATTTTTTTGTAGTATCAGTATGCGAAACAAACAATGAAACAAGAGAGAGTAGGCATATACATAAATACGAAAGGCTAAATATGACAACATTTTTCTGCGAGAAATGAAGAAAATAACCCAGAGTTTGGTACTGACCTGCCCCCCAACCTTGTGTAATAGAATGTACATGAAATGGTGCTAGATTGACGACGTAGCTTGGGCCAGGGAAGGCGAGATCGAGGCCTCATCTATTGCAGAATTACAGCAACCATAAATAGTGGTAAACACCTGAGCTCAGGGCGAGCGGTCGGGCGCATACAGGCGAGACGGTCGAACAAAGGAATGGGAATCATGGGTGGCGCATCAACAAATGTGGCAAACGCTATGCGGTAGGTAACACGGAAATTCAATCCCATCTGTTCTCTTATTAGTATAATTCATAAGAAACCCGTGCAAGAATATAAATTGTAACACTATAGGCGGGCTGACCTGTAGCCGTAAAGATCGGGCGACAATAGAATTGTAAACCGTGCAGAATGGTAAACTTGTGCACTGCAAAGGCTGCTCCCTCGTTTACATCACTACAGTATACATATGTACGGCCGAAAGGAGTGATCCAGCGGTAAGATATCCAGTGCAAAATATGTCTCCATTCAGAGCAGCAAACATTCCTTAAGGAGAATTAACAAGTCACAGGACAGGAGAGAGGGCGGATCGAATGCGCACAAGCTGCGGCCGACACAAATGTATTGAAACGTAGCTGAGAGCAAAGGTCTACATGGTCTCGATTACAATTCAAACTCTGTGATTTGGCTCAGTCAAGAAAAAAATTGAAGGAATCGAATTACCTTTATGCTCGTAAATTCGCGCTTGATTTTGGCTAAAAATTCCATGCCAACAGTTTACATCAAATCTACTGATGGGAAACAGAAAATCGCAAGCATTATTCTTCGCCCAAGGTCACTCTCCAAAAATTTGTTTTTAGTTTGCATTTTCGCTGCCGCTTGAATGCAAATTAGCAACAGCAATCAAAGGAATTACCAACGCGCACAATTGTGGGCTCCGCAGACACATATAATTACTTCTCGGCACAAATCACGGCATGCGAGAAGAAAACATTGCCAAGCGATGCCTACAGGCGTTTGTGTCCTAAGAACAAAAAGCATAAAAATTTACCCACCATAAACTTTGCATAGGAAGGCACGCAAGTCCTATCACAAAAATACCTCTTGACCTCGGTCGTAATTTCATGTTCCAAGGACAAGCGAGTTTTCTCGCATAGTATATGGATATGCATACACGGTATGGAATTTGGATGATGGAATATTCCGGAGCGTTTATCTTTTAATGATAAATAACTGAGACCGGAATCCGGATGAATAGTGTTGAAAATATTTATTTTAGATAACTGCTTACCTTAATTTCGTGTTGAATTGCAACTCCTGGCGTGAAAGTTACTTAGAAGACACACAACTTAAAAAATAAGCGAATGTTCGAATACAATACCTAGTCGTGGCTCTACGTAGATCGTAGATTCCATTGTACTATCCAAGTAGTAAAGCTATACAATTGGTTAACCGGACAAACCTTATGGCACTTTTCCAGCATGATAAACATCTCACATAGCTATAAAAACTTCAGCCCGAATTTTTAAGGCTGCCGAAGTTATGAAGATGAAGCTGCAGGAAGGTATGAACAGAAAAACCCGAGGCATATAATAGTTCTGAATGGAAAACCTGGAGGGAAGTACACCTGCATATGAGAAGGATCGTGCAATCAAGGATTTAGGAATATGTGTGCGTGTGTGAGTGAGACTATATACTGTATGTAGGATGAAATACGAAATGAGTTATGTGTGGATAAACTCATCATTTAGCTCATGAAATCCAGATTGCTGAACTGGAAGGTCTGAAATAAAATAGTTACTGCTTTTGCATAAGTATTCCTGTTAAGCATCACTGCTGCAACTACGTATCTAAATGTTATTCTATGATTTAACCATAATTTTACTGACAACGAACTCACTTTACAAAATATCTATCTGATGCAAACCTGCATAAACAAAACATATTACAGACAATTTGCGTTTAATATGACTGCACGAAAAGGGCCCCTTTCTCATGGCACTTGCAGATAAGTGCTTTACGGCTTCCGGTGCTCTTAGGTCCAACTGGCCAGTCTGGCCACTTTTGGGAGCTCAACAAACACGTTGAGGGCGCTTATAGGTGTGTGAGCTCAAGGCAACTTTTGGAACTTGAGAGCATTTCACTAACATAAATTAGTTTGAAGAGCATGGTACTAATAGATAATTGTTCTTTAATTATTTATTACATTCGCGTAAATATTTTAGAAAAGTGAGACACATTATTCATTAGGCCCAAGAAGAAAATTCATGTGTTGGATTTAAACGGATGAAAACAAAGAGTAGGAGCTACTGATAAGCCTGGGTATAGCCTGAGCTTTATGACCTAAGCTGAAAAGAAGTATGCGGGCTCTAGGCTACGTAAAAAAGTTAAATATGTTAATTTATAGATTGAGTAAAGATTAAGCTATACGTCTGGAGAAAAATAATTACGGAATACTTACGGAAGCCGAAGCCGATGCCCCAAGTAAGACGAGGCAGAGGAGTATCAGCATCGCAGCAACAACTTCAGCAGCAGCAGCAGGTGAGGCAGTTTGATGGGTTGAAATGAGTTACTGAGCAGAACTGGGTCGATGGCTAAATTGGTGGCTATAACTTAGATAGCTGTAGCGATGTTTGGTGTCGAAGAATGTCCTTGAGGTGAATTGGACACTCGAAACACTTGACAAGTCTACCTGTACACAATGACTTGGAGATTCGTGGCTATGTTGTCAAACATGGTAAATCAAGTGCAAACAAAAACTGAAACCACTTGGGCACGTTGTTTGTCTCTCATCAATAATAGTTTGTTGCCGATGCATTCTCTATGAAACAAGTTTTATGCAGGGAACGGCTTTCCGATAGTATTATGTTGTCAAGAAGTTCATAGTAATTTTCCAAGAAAACTGGCAAGGATTTTGTTACTTAATTGCACCAAGGAAAAAATAAAACAGTGAATTAATAACCATCAGGAGAAGATGCGCAGCTTAAGTCGTAAATATATCCCCATAAAAGTTTTTGTTTGAGTCTGGCTCATTGCGTTCGCTTTAAACCAATAGTAATAAACCTTGATCTGTCTTCAAACTAGAAAAGTACACTGAAAAAAGAACAAAGCTTTGAATATTTTGCCAAAATCTCAAAAATTTCGAAAATTTATGCGCTACATAGACGCTAATTTCCTCTTATGAGCCAAAAGTTAGCAAAAAAATTAAACCCGTGCACCATCCAGATCTATTCAGCCTCGTTTCGTCAAGAGTTCCAAATCAGACCACAAAAATAAGTACACGTTGAGATCATCGCATTTCTTGACGGCTGGGCAAGCGTACATCACTGCGCTAAAAGCCTAACATGTTGATCTCTGGACTTCCTTAACTGATGTTGCACTTATCTCAAAAAGCTTGCAAAAAAACGTCCATGAAGTTGAGACGTCTCGAGGCTTGGAGCTTGAATTGGTTCATGACATCACTTGAGCGTTCAATAGAGCCATCGAACGGCAAGATAAGCCCAATAGAAGGCGTCGAGGTTATCATTTGCGCACCAGAAAAATGTCTCGATCGTCAAGCATGTCGTGCGAAGTGGCAGTAGAGACGAAGCCCGTGGGATCAAAGAAGAAACGCCTGTGTCATAATCTCTGTTATTTCTTTCTTATGTCAAAGATAGTTAGCCATTATCAATACTGAAAAGCAAGCATCTGCGCGTGGGAAGAATAGTTGTTTTGTCTCTATTTTTATCAAGCTAACTTCATGGTGGTTGGTTGGAAAAACAAGTTCCATGATTTCTTGAGCTGATCAATTTATTTTTGTTTACACAAAAAATTATTTAAGGCAAATAAAGTACGGCACATTTCATTGATTTGGTACCTCATTATTACAAACTTTAGGAAATGTACTCGTACAGTAATTGGTACCAATTTTACATAAAATGGAGTGATAGAACATCGAACTAAAGTGGCGTTTCATTTTCACTTCCCACTTTGCAATAACTTCCAATTAAAATACCGCAATTCTAACACCTTCATTTTTTTATTGTAATGAACTAAACTGGATCATTAGCGGCGACTTATGATCCACAGGACAAGTCCATGACTCAGCAGAATCTTCTGAGCAAAAAGTTAGCGATTTATCACTGACTCTGCAGGGAGAGTCATAAGTGAGATACCTGCGAATAATTACAGCAATTAAACTTGAAACAGTAAAGAAATTCAGCATAAAGAGATGAGTGTAATAAAAAGAGATGAGTGTAAAATAAAGAGATAAGTGTAAAATAAAGAGATGAGTTTAAAATAAAGAGATAAGTGTAAAACAAAGAGATGAGTTTAAAATAAAGAGATAAGTGTTAAATAAAGAGATGAGTGTAAAATAAAGAGATGAGTTTAAAATAAAGAAACGAGTGTAATATAAAGTGATGTGCATGAAATAAAGTGATGTGCGTGAAATAAAGTGATGAGTGTAAAGTAAAATGATGAGTGTAAAATATAGTGAAGAGTGCAAAATAAAGAAATTAGTAAAATAAAGCGATGTGCGTGAAATAAAGTGATGATCGAGTGTAAAATATAGTGATGGGTGCAAAATAAAGAGATGAGTGTATATAAAGTGAAAGGCGTGAAATAAAGTGATGTGCGTGAAATGAATTTATGTGCGTGAAATATAGCGATGATTGTAAAGTAAAGTGATGACCGTGAAATGAAGTGATGTGCGTGAAATATAGTGATGAGTGCAAAATAAAATGATGTGCGTGAAAGAAAGTTATGTGCGTGAAATGAAGTGATGTGCGTGACTTGAAGTTATGTGCGTGAAATAAAGTGATGAGTTTGAAATAGAGTGATGTGTGTGAATCAAAGTGATGTGCGTGAAATAAGGCGATGTGCGTGAAATAAAGTCATGTACAGCCTCGACCAAAAATATGAGACAAAAAGTATGGTAGGAATAGCATTGAATCATCGGAGATAATTGATATCAATTAGTATCCAAGCCTACGTAATAAATTGCTGAAACGAGAAGTAGATCGAGCTCAGGTTTGATAGCAAATTTTCCTACATACCACCTTATTGCGATATTTTAAAGTCTATTAAAACAAAAACCTAATATTTCTGAGGAGGATATCTAAGGGAATATTGCAGTTCAAAAAGTTATGGTTATGCAGGAGGAATTTTTCAGGTTCAATCATAGTCATCATTTTGAAACGTGCAGCAGATGGTGCGCGAGATTACGAGATGCTTCATGCAAAGTGCAGCTATTCTCATAGTCATAAAATAAAAATTATAAATCCCATAGGTTAGCAAGAATATTAAACAAATAAAGAAACATGGAAGGTTTGTTTTTCACTTGCGCCTGATCACAGACACACAGAATGAAAAAATTCTTGGACGTTGCTGGAAGAAAATATAAATGATAAATTCCGTAGATTAGCAGGGATATTGAACAAATAATAATGAAATAAATATGGAAAGTTAGTTTTTCACATGCGCCTGATCACACTCACTCAAAATGAAATAATTCTTGGACGTTGCGAGAAGGAAGAATGCATGTGCAACGTCTCGGCATGCACGCGTCATGCTGCGATCCTAACCGTAGATCTGGACAAAGCTTGATAACGACGCCGTAAAATTACGGGCGAAACTTGATGCTGCGTGTATAAATTCAGCTTGGATGCTCACGCCTTTTCGAGCATTGGTAATTAATTATTAATTAGTTCATAACGTTGCGAGGAGCAAAATTATACGCGGAAGAATTTTGTAATAATTAACATTCCTTAAAGGGTAATAATAATAAATACTACTAATAATAACGATAATAATAATATCAGTAATAATAATAACAATATTAATATCAATACTAATAATAATAATAAAATAATAACAAATTGCATCTTGCAGGAAAAGTTTGTAATCCTGTATGTTTGTTAGTTTAGAATCAACGAGCCAGTTATCGTTTTAAACAATAGTGCGCACACAAAACAGGTCCGACGTAGGCAAATCAAACTTCATTATCATATAATAAGGTAACAATTGCATGAAATCGAAGCCAGACTGCATTTTTTACATCGATGCCAAATCGTTTGACTGACTGAAGCTAATCATGAGCTGTAAGCTTAGGTAAAAAAAGACGCAGTTCGCACCGATAAAAACCCAAACAAGGCGATCTGATCTGAGCACTTGAGCGGGTGCACAATATATTTAAGGCTTGGATAATTAAACTGATCGGCCATTTAATTTGCATTGCAGTTACTCGACCATAGCAGCGGATGAGCCTCACGCAATGATTGCAGTGCAGACACTTGGGTCTGAGGAATGTTTAAACCTAAAAAATAGCAAACATTTAATTTCATGGGCAGAGATTAGAACCCCCCATGGATTTAACTGCTAGAAATTATCTATGCAGACAGACGACTGGTTACATCAAAAGGTATAGATAGTTTCGGCTCCAGGCAACTAATAACATTGAAGTCTGAATAGTTAGTACACAATGCAGTGATAGTTTAACATGATCTAATGATCTCATGATATTCAAGAATGATCTAATGTTTATAAACATTGATAGATTATACAATATCATTTTGTACTTGAAGCGGCTGGAATCTTCTATTTGCAGAAGAACATTTACAAGTGATCGAGAAAAGTGCTGATGTATCAAAAGTACACTTATCTAAGAAAGAATTATGTGCGCCTGTTTCAACAAACGAGTTTGAGATTTTACAAGCACTTAAGAACATGATTCAATAATTACAAGTCATCGACCGATTGAGGAACACTACGACAACAGTCAGGTCCTTGAAGAACACTTTGATCAGACGTGCAGGTTGATTAATCCCATAGATGGGAAGGCGAGACTTGTTTGACATTCTGCTGCTACTCCGATGATTTCTAAAGCAAAGGCACCCTAATTTAGCACATATCTGGCCTTGCGAGAGTGTCTCGATAATTACAGGCTAGACGAAACGATCAAGCTACCTCACAAGAAACACTGAACATCAACTAACTTTAACGGATCGTCCTCATGCAAAAATCCAAAATAAATTGGAAGTAATCGCTGTTAAATAGGCACTCGCAAGTCATTATTATTTGTCGATGCATGCAAAACCTCAACGCGTAATACAGCGAGAAAGTCAGAGCATGTAGCTTAATGATCAGTTGAGTAATCGTAAATTTTTCCTACATTTAGGTTTGACTTATAAATTGCCAACAGTCATAATTAGTTACACCGTCTTCTGCGGAGATCTCGAGCCTGCAATGTAACCGAGAAAAGTGCGAATTGAATTAACATTCTACCGACAAATCCGTCTAACTGAAAATAATTTTAAATTAAGTGATTAAAATTTCTCTACAATAATAGATGCTTAAGCTATCAAAACGGCTTATAAGCCATATACAAACACGCTGTACTATTCAACATCATTTAAATTTAATCGGCTACAATTAAGGTACGTTCATCCTTGAAAACCAGTTCGGAACAAACTCGGCTGAACGCTCAATAGCACCAGAGGTGGCCTACTCAGACTCAATATTACTTTGAAGCTAACTATATCTGTTCAGGATTAGTGAATAGCAACCGTTGATATTTTAATTCAATGGACAATGTTGATCATTGCGTGGCCGCGCTTCGTATTGAGCTGAGAATAAAATTTTGTCTTCAACGCCAATAATTTTCTTGAAGAAACGAAGCAAGTGGGCACGCGTAAGAATGAAGTGAACAAGGTCTATTATTACAGCTGTTATAAGCCTTGATGCTTCAAAGGACTCCACTTGAAGGCAAGCTTAGACGAGCGGGTGATACTGACATACTACACGCGTCTTGTTAAACTTATTTATTGCAAACAACCTCGGCTTTTTCGCTTAAAACTTCGTATAATTGCACTGCATTAGTAGGGTACGTTAATTACGTTACTTACGTCCGTCACCTTACTTTAGCTGAACATATAATAGTTACAGCGAAATTATAGTAATGCAAAATCACAATTATTATGATGAAACTATTGATATATGTAATTCCATCGCATGGTCTCAAGACTTGAATCATGCGCTAGAATTCCCATCTAACATACGCATCCTACTTGAAAAAATTCGGCAAGGGTACAGCGTATTACGATGAAAATCGTAAGGATGCCTTCACATCCCACATGAAATAACTTGGTCATTTTACTATGCATTGTGATGGAAATCGTGATCATACCTTCACATCCCACGTGAAATAATTCGGGCAGGGCAATGCTTTGTGATGAAAATCGTGATGACGCCTTCATACTCGGCACAATTTCTTCTTTATCGGTCGTGAAGCGACAGCGCTCTTAGTAACCTAATCTTGGCCGTCATTCATCGAAACGTGAGAACATTTTAGCAGCCTCCCTCAATTAAGTACTTGGACTTCACATTCATTACTCACCTGAGCGTAGATCGTGAATTTTAGACGCACAGAAAAGAGAGAAAAAGTGAAAAATGCATCGATATAATTGAAAACGAGTTTATTTAGTTGTCAAATGCCCAAGATTAACTAGAGTTCATAACTATTCTTTATCTTTCTAAGCTTGGATCTTATATAAATAAAAATAATATAAGCTTGATTCCCATTGAGGCACTAGATTCATTCTCTTAACTTTTAATTGTTTTGGTCAAATAACTTTTGGTTGAAGGTATATATATCATGCAATAAATTTTATTTACAATAAATAAAATATCAGGTAATGACAGCACACGACAACTAGGCTTAAACATTAGCCTTTAAACGCTTAACGAAAGCTGAACACGCCTCTAGTAAATTGAGTGATCCATCAACTCTGTTTTAGAAGTTCGATGGATTGACGTTCCCGCTGATCAAGTGAAGATCTGTCTAGAATAAGTGGTCGTTGCAATGAACAACGTTAGAGAGACATAAGATAGTTGCATGACGGTGACATCGATAACTGAAAAAATATCATGTGAACATGAAAGATCATCAATTTATACGCACATTTGTTCATAATACGCACGATCCACAAAATTTTGCGTTTATACGGGCATTCGGTTATACGCGCAAAAAATTCTTAATTTATACGCACATTGCGTATAAATTGCGTATGATTGTGCTCCATAATGAGCACAATCCACAAAATTCTGCGTGAAAAGTTTATCGAAAATTTTAATTGGATTAAAAAATAATTTAACTTATTGTAAAGTAACATTGCGAGACGTTTAATCTGTAAATTATTCTATAGAATTATTAGTAAAATTAATGAAGTTTATACCTTGCAATCACGGTAGTTGTAACTAAAAATCATCATGTGTATAGCAAGACGATATGCTGAAAAATCTGTCACCAGTCACAGCTCGTGAACGGCACTGCACCTACACACACATCCATCCACCGCGAGGGTCGCTGCCATACTACCTCGCAATGCTGTAATCAGGGTTGCCAGATGGTTCATGGTGGCAAGGTAAAACGGTCAAATCAGAAACGACAGGGTCATTATTCAATATTGATTAATGAATTGAAAATATCCGGTAATTAGATCGTTTGATGGTCATCAATTGACTTGCTTATTTTTAGTTTCCAAATTACCTAATTCCAAATTATTTTTAGTTTCCAAATTACCTAATGATACCCTCACAAGCATGGTTGAACCATGGTTGAACTATAAAGTTCAACCATGCTCACAAGTACCCAAATTACCTAATGTTTCGGGTACTCGTGAGAATAAGTACGGCTCGTGTTATTTATATTATACGGATCGTGTTAGCGGATATTTCATTCAAGAAACACTGGAGGATTTAAAAAAAAAACGCTATAATAACGGAAAATACTGCACAAATTTTACAGAGACAAATGAGTAGCTATATATCCTGGACATTTCTGTGGAAAAGGATCGAAATCCGTGTTTTATGGCACTCGAAATGCAGCCTCGACATGTTTTTGCTGTCACTTGTCGATGTTTTACTTGATTGATCTCAAATATTTATAAAATTTTGATTCCTGTCTGAATAATACCATAGTAAAGACTGAATTGTCGTTAAAACTGAAGGCCCATGTTGCAAACCTGGCTGAAACGACCGTCTCTACACTGACTGAATGTTGCAAACCTCGCCGAAACGACTGACTCTATCTACACTGACTGACTCGTAGCGTATAAGATCGTTTGCTCAGTTATTTCGATAATAAAATCATTCGAAGCGATTTTTCAATACATGCTATTGAAATTTAGAATATTTATTCATGATATGACGGAATTTAGGAGACATGACTAACGTGGGTGGAGATAAAAGTCCATAGGCAAGTTTGATTGATACATTTTAATATGCTTAAAATGTAAATTTTTTACGAGGTGATAATATAAGTAAAAGTACTGCAGATGTTTCTTTAATTCAGTTTCCAGGCTAAAAACAGGTTTCTGAGCACTGATACTGTTTTTCATTATATTCAATAAACTTTTGGAATATACTCACGGGAAGTAGTACCGTTGGCCCAAATCTGGTGAGCGCGACTGCCTAGAATTTTTTTTTTTTCATTTCTATGGAGAGCTCGACTGTCTAGAAAAATTTTCTCATTTCTAAAACAGGCCTATATGTCCCCACGGCAAACGTGCAATGCTCTCTCCTGTTAACTGCAAGATCTTGACTGTCAGTGGCGGGAGAGAAACATTTCAGACCCAACCTATAGGACGCATATCACCTATCCGCTACTCCTTATCTGTATACGAGGGATAAATAAAATACAATATGACTCGGACCAGAGGGATGAATGAAAACAACGTGTTCAAGATAATATACTATCGAAAATAAGTTAGATTAAATGTTTTTATGTATTTGTTCTAGCAAGTCATTACAGGAAAGCACACGCGACTTGTTCAGCACCCAAAATATACTATCGAAAATAAGTTAGATTAAATGTTTTTATGTATTACAGGAAAGCACACGCGACTTGTTCAGCACCCAAAAAAAAAAAAAACACTATAATATTGTACACGATAAACTAATGCCCCAAAATGCCACAGATAATGCAAGAGTGTGTTAGGGTTCGACAGGAACATTAATAACGTCCAAAAATGGATGCCACTGAGATACATGATTGGGAGATTCGTTCTCTCATAACACAAGCATATTGCAACAACAAACAAACTGGCACGTCTCGATCAAATAGAAGTTTAAAAAGAGAGTTGAAACTCGGCGGGTAACTTTAATTTAGGATAACAAATTCACGAACAAAATAACAGAAAAAATAACATCACAAAACCCGAAAACAGAATGGCTGTAGCGTAAAAATGTCTCACTGTAGAATCACCTCCACTTATTTCAATCGAGACGAGTGAATTTAAACTTAAATTAAGGAAGATTTTGCACGTGATTTCACAAATCATGCATATGTGAAGGCAATTTCTGAACAAACATGTAATTATCATATTTCACACAGCACTGTTTCAATTCACAGCAACATAAAAACAGAAGGATGGCATCACATCTAAAATCTCACAAATATGTCGGCTATGATCACACGGAAAAGTTTTTTAGAAATTAGGCGCAAACTTCTTCATCCTTATCAAATAGAAACTAATATTAAGGAATGTTGCTTTAGATCCCATATTTTAGTTAAAAAAACATTAGATCTTGCATTTTCTATTTTTTAGCAATTGCACACTTTGGCTAAAACACAAAAGTCTAGCAGTTGATTCGAACCCTGGACCCTTTAAATAGTGACAAACCAATTAATTTATACTAGCTTGATCATATAAGTGATGATGATATGACCCTTTCCAGAACCTATTTTCGTATACATTAACAGTTAGCAATGCCATTCGTACCTAAATGCCTTGTATAGAATTACCGTCAGTTAAAAAATAAATTCGTTTTCAAACGTTTCAATGAGAAATTTCATATTGAAATGATACGTGACATGTCGCATGGAACTTATAATCGAGGCCGAATGAGAAGGCGAGGTACGATTATTCTGACAGTCGAAACGCAACATTTTAGATGACAGAATTTATGGTCTCATGAAATACGAAGCAATTGGATTTTATGAAAAACAGAATTTCAACCGAGATCAAAGGATAGATCAAATGCCGGGCAGATATTTTACAACCCGTTAAAATACAGAAATTTACCGCAACCCGTTCCGGGAGTTGTCGAGAACCGAAAAAATATATCCAACAAAGACTAAAATAAATTAGATTAATTCTTCAAGCCTAAGAACTGTATATTTGTAATGCGTCCACACAAATAAATGCTTCGACGATCCTTCCTCTTGTTAACAGTTTCTTTTAGGGCTTTCCTTCATTAATTAACGCCCTTACTTACTCAGCATTCCTCTTTTCACAACCACGGCAACATTTATAAAAATCTCTGTTATTAGGAAAAGTATAAATATTTTACTTTTTCAGTACCTAATGATAGAGAAATTGATTATATGAGTGTCTTTTTCATGGTTACAATTCGCCTTTTCCCCGCGTTGAATAGTTTCTCCCATGTTTTCCTCATTACCACTCTATCGGTGGTAATGAGGAAATAATCCATCTTTTATAGACATAATCCATCTTTTATAGACACACGTCTATTTATTAAGGTGAGAAAAATACGTACTGCCCAGCACAAAGGCGAATAATTATCAAAACCCCACATGCACGAATCTTCATCGGATCGTTAATTGTTAATTGACTTGAATTGACGTGCGAGATGCTTGCAGGGCCGAAATTAATAACTTAGACTTCCAAAATGATTGCGTGGTTTCATTTTTTTACGCATTTCTTGGCATAGTACCGATTTGGTCAAACTTCCCATTGAACTTCACAAGGTCTTCCTTTCGAATCCAAAAGGTCGAACTTCCCATCGAACAGATTATCCCAATAAAATTATTTCTACATTGCAGTAATACTCTGCAGATTGAAATTAGCCCGTAGAGATTCAGAGCGCATAGATTGTAATCGTTTGGGCCTCGAACTCACTCCAGAAAGCGAGAAGAGTTAAAACGATCAAAATAAAATGGAAACAATAAATATTTTCGAATGAATACTCTCCATCTAAAATAATTTTAGCATTACATTATAAATACAATTTTCATAGTAATAGTATCAACCTCTAACATGAGTACATTATACATCAAATTCTTGGCTAGCATCAATCGAAGTATTTCTTAAGATCAATCACAACGCAATTTCTCTAACAAACTTCCAGGAATAAATTTCATCCTTATTGGAGTGTAAATTAAACCTAGATAATATACGTCAGATTCTCACGAGCAAGACGGCATGAATTTTCCCCGAAAAAGGTATTTTCTGAAGAAATATTTGCGGAGCATGAAAACCAAAATTCCGCATTAAAAAATCTCTCTGAAACAAAGCGAAAAAAATTTGCAATAAATACCTAGACTGGACCTTGACCGCCTGGTCAAAATGCAATGTTTATTTTGCAATGAATCGACTATTGAGCGAAAAAAATATCATAAATATTCAGGAAATTGTATCACTTACCGTATTATCACAGCATTCAAGTGCCAAGGCAACACGGCAAAAACAACAGCGCACTGTATGACCTGGGCGGCGAATAACTGCACTTGAACATGTCACGATTAGCACATATAAAAAATTTGCCACCGCGCCAATTATTCATATTTTAGGGTAAACTCTCTATATGAGAGCGCCTTTTCCAAACTTGCTCTTCATCACTCGCCACTTGAAGATAAAACAAAATTCAATAAGTACATTTCTGATAGAAAATCAGACCAAGACAGCAACATTGGACCCCAAAGCCAACGTGGTGTGGTTGATGTAACCCATTTGATGTAACCGCTGAAGTTGAAGTTTGTAGACTTCAGACAGAGTGAAAGGGTTGATGGAGAAGAAGATGTAGAGCGAGACGCACAACACACACATCAGCACCAGCAGGCAGTTCAGAAGACGTTCCTCCCAGGGCTCCTGGTGGAGGGAGGTCAGCAGAGTGCTGGGTTCTCCACAGTCTGCTGCTACATCCTGCAATACGCAAAGTACCTCCATAAAAACAAAAGTTTGACTAACGCTTTCAGACTTCTTTCCTTTCCATCAAAACACGCGGGCAATGATTTCACTAATATTAGGATTAGATTAATTTATCGATACTAGACAAATATTAGCTATCAGGAAAACCATGATCAGTCCTTGGAACGTCATTGTTAAGCTCTGGTCTAATAAATATTTCAAGATAGAACCTCTTACTTTGATCTACATTAATTGGTCAAGAAGCTCATGAATTTCAAATTAACTTCATGCACACAGTGAATGGCACGCAACATTTTATACGTTAAATAATAGTCAATAGCTGCACCGATAAGAACTACGTAATAATATCTAATCGTGAACAGACAATTTAATTGCGTCTGCTGCGGTAAGCAGAACCAAGATCTCGGTCTAGAACCTACGCAACGAAGCCTCACGATCATGATCTATAATATCATCGTCATCATTTGGATTGTCATCGTCATAATTAATACTCATAATCGTGTCTAGGAGCTTTTAGATCTTGACCTGGAGACTTAAGATCTAGCAAGCCGGGAGACTCAAGATCGTAACCTGGAGACTCAAGATCGTAACTTGGAGACTGGAGTACGTGAAATGGAGACTCAAGATCGTAACCTGGAGACTCAAGATCGTAACTTGGAGACTGGAGTACGTGAAATGGAGACTCAAGATCGTTACCTGGAGACTAGAGCAAGTGACCTGGAGCCTCAAGATCGTGGCCTGCAGACTCAGGATCGTTAACTAGCAACTCAATCTCACTATAAGAGACAACCATCGAAGGCTCGAACAAAACTATAAACTTATCCAGCTTTGAGATAAAATTCTTTATACAGCAACGTAATAAAAATAAAAATCATCATGGAAATAAAAAACTGTATGACTCGCCTGATATTCAGAAGCAGAAAGCCGTCCAATAGCCCGGCTGCCCAGTAGTCTGGTCATCAGCCTCTTGCACGTCCCAGTTTGTTTACAGCAGGAAGCGCGACGAGCCATGCCGTTACCTGGAACAACAGAAGTCTTTTGATTCTTTGTTCAAAACAAAGTCAAATAGAGTAACAAGTGAACTTCTTCAAATAAACGTAATTTGCATGAATCGTTGAGGAGAGATAATCAAGAAATGCGCAAAACCCATGACTAAAAAAAGACTTACAGAAATGGTGATCGACTTTATAAATCTTTTTGCAACTTTATAATCTCTTCGCACTTCAAAACATAAAGAATAGCATGAATTTGATCACAGATTTTTAACGATCAACTTAGAAATAAAGGTTGACATGATCTATCACAATATTTTAACCAATAATCAAAGTATTCGATGAAATATTTTACATGAGAATCAATGCAGCCTATGAGCTATTTTACTTCAAAATCAACGTGGCCGCTTAACTATTTTACCTCATAAACAGTGAGGCAGATAAATTGTTTTACCTCAGAACCGATACAGTTGATGCTTTATAGTCAAATCACTCACCAAGTTTACTAGTATCGACGACATCGCTTTTCCCTCGCGGCACTTCTCCCTGATCACTCGAGGAGCGGTGGCAGGCGAGGGGAACATTTACCTCAGTTCCCTCACATCCATCAGCATAATTCTTATCCCACGTTAATGTGACGTCTGCATTTGTTGCTTCATAAGTTGTTTCGACGTTAACGTCTAAGCTATGGTTCAAGTCCGCGTCACCGTGGACCGCAGAAGAGCACGGGACTCGGCCGTTCTCCTGCAGGGGCAGGAGGGCGTTGGCGACCGCAAGCTTGACTTCGTCGAGCCGCACTGTCTTGTCGTAGCGAGTCCAGTACGTGGTGCGTATAAGCTGCTCAATTAAACAGAAAACAATTAATACTGTGAATCATAACAAAATTTACAGCAACAAAAGAAACAACAAATTTTATACGAATTTAAAAGTTCGAATATTCGGGACCTCAAAAAATGGTCTTCTTATAGTATTACTATTTAAAATGATTTAATCAATAAGGTCAGCAAATTGCAAATCATCAGCAAGCAAAAATCAAGCTGATACACAATTTCAAAACGAATTATAGATTTAATTGAATCAGAGAACCTCGAGTATGTAAAATTTGTCTCACCCTCCATCGTTCGACGGGCGGGGAGGCCAGCGACACCAAAAAGCACATGAAGAGCGTGAACCAGAAGAGAAGCATGGCGAAGTACAGGTAGTGAATCTGCAAGACAAATAGAGTCAATTGAAGAGTTAAAATTAGGACATAAATGTAACATATGAAATTCAATTTTCGATTGAACTCGAATACGATTAGACATGAAAAAAATTCCATGACTTTTCAATGACTCTCCATGACCATCAATATAATTGATGGTCATGGAGACTATGATTTGATGATCATTTGATGGTCATTTCCAAGACTATGAATTGAACGTTATGTTCTCGAAGTATTCAAAGTCAAGTTCAAGAAATTAACGGCTAGATTCTTGATGAGAATAACCGAAATAATCTGAGAATACAGTTATATGAAAAGATTGATATTTTAGAAGGAAAGAGCTACATGCCACTCAAACCTTAAGTACAGCAGGCCGTAGATCTTCTTCGTAGCAGAGAGGCTCGCCGTAGTAGAAGTCCATAGCCATCCTCACACCCCCCACCACGAAGCCTGAGATCAGACCCCAGAACGCCCCCTGTTCACATAAAATATAACTCAGTACTCACTGCAGTGAGTGACAGAGAGCTCATTTTCTCGTCGACAAAAACGTGAAGTCACGGACAGACGGACGGACAGACAGAAAAACGTACATGACGAGCAAAATAGTGCATTTTTTCAATAAATGAGAAAATGAGCTAAAAATGGAAAAGTTTGTCAAGTTTGGTGTCATTAAGGCCATGCCTTGATTGACGTGATGAATATATCTATTAATAACTGCAACTTCATTTGTATACATTTGTATGATAATTTAAAATAAACTTTGAATTAAAGTTAAAATCTTGAATAAATCTTACTCAAGTTAGGTCAATTTTTCCGTTCATTAATCTTTTCATTCATAAACATTTCATCCAAACAGACTGGATGTAGCTGTACATTTCACCGCCCTGAGTGGACTCGATCACCGGCACCCAAGCTACCGACACCACCAGCAGGAACAGGATGAACACTCTGACGAAAATGATTCATGTGAAGAACGCTGCTAACAGACACATTTTCAGGTGCATGGAATAATACAACGAGTGTACGCGAGGTTCTAAAGAAGAACTGATGCAACTGATGAGCTCCGTGTCATTGAAACTGAACATAATTTGATTTTTCACTTGAATCTTCGTAGAACCAAAAAAATTTAAGAAGAAAATGAACACACCTACTGCAACTTGTCAAAAGTTCACAAAATATTCAATAAAACTTTTTTTTAACACACTTAAAATACCTCTCAAAAAGCTAACCACGTGCCGGGCTTGTATGTAAGGCCACAACATGACGCCTTAATTACCCCATCACCAATCGTCCTATTTGTATAATAGGTTCACCCTCAAATATACTTATACATAAAAAATATAAATAAATAATGATATAATACAAATAATTCTAAGAAGCCCTCGGTCACCTGGCGCAGAGCAGCAGCTCCCTGGTGCTGGCGAGGGGTCGGAAGTATTTCCAGACATCGATGGTGAAGAGGGTCGCCGCTGAGTTGAAGATGGAGGTGAGGTCTGAGATGAGGGCGCTCAACATCACCGCCAGCATCACTCCGCGCAAACCGCCGGGCAGCAGCTCCAGCACAAGCTTCAGTCAGTGAACGTTATGTGTTATGTAAACAACACGTTATATGTTATATAAATAACACGTGACATTTTATATGAATAACACGTCACGTGTTATATAAACAACACGTCACATGTTACCTATATAAACAACACGTTACGTGTTATATAAATAATACGTTACGTGTTATATAAATAACACGTTACTTGTTAAATAAATAACACGTCAAGTGTTATATAAATAACACGTTACGTGTAGTATAAAATAAATACCACGTCACGTGTAAATTAAATAACACGTCAAGTGTTAAATAAATAACACGATACGAGTTTTATAAACAAAACGTTACGTGTTATATAAATAAGACGTTACCTTAAATACTTTACGTTAGATAACACGTTACGTGTTAGATAAATAAATAAGATTAGAATAATAAATTTGTAAACGGTTTGACTTTTGACGCCAACTATGAATAAAAAAGGATATAACAGTTACCGATGCTAAGAAATAATTAGGAATTATATAATTATTAGCTTTATGGTCTAGTGGAAGTCATGACAAATGAGTTTGTGGCGTTATGGAAAGATTTTCAGGTTTAAATTTCAAAGCAAGTATCAAGGATTTTCAGTAATATCAGTAAAAAAAGTATCAAAGATTTTTAAGCATACCGTAACACCCATAGATAATGTTTTTTATTACATGAATGAACTGATAAAAGAAGAACAAATTTTTAATCTTCCGTGTTATAACCTTCGGGTAGGCGGAGTTGGAGCAAGACACGCGTGATCCGCAGAACTCGAAGCACGCGTCCGGGTCCACGCACGCCACCTCGTTAGTGAAGAGCACGCGCGAGACCATGCCTAGTGAACGCAATGCACGTTAGTTTAACGCACGAGTTAACAAGGGTGGGAAACTAGTACAAATTCAACGAAATATATCTGGCACTACTACGTAGTAGATACTAGCCGAAAGGTAGCTAACTAAATGTTATTTTACAGAGACCCACAACCGAGGTACTACCAAGAGAGAGCTACAAACCGGAGGCAACCAACCAAGAGCTATCAACTGAGAGCAAGTATGCGTAAATATTATAATCATTACAGAGTTTTATGGTACAAACAAAGTCATTTCACCCAAGGTTTCTCAACGTCTTAAATTATGCATTTAGATCTCTTGCATATATGAGTAGATATAACAAAAACGATAACACTCCTGCTCTTTCCTTGACGTTGATTATAACAACTTTTTATCCTCACCGGGAATGATGATCAGGAAGAGCGGGAGGAGCTTGAAGATGCCAGCGAATATGGTGGCTCCCTTTGCGTGGGACAAGCTCTTGGAAGCCATGGCCCGCTGCACCATCATCTGGTGGAGTGTGTGTGTGGTTTGAGATGGTGCACACAGAGGTATACAGGACACACATCACACACATCCTACCAGGTGCAATGACAGGTATGTGTCTGCTATCCTTGTAAAACCGTTGGTTCTTTTGGACCAATCAGACAAGCAATATTTTAACTAGTAACTAATATTACCGTCATCATATATTGACCTGACACACGCAGCACTGCTAACCTGGTCAGCACACCAGCACAGCTAACCTGGTCAGCACACCAGCACTGCTAACCTGGTCAGCTCACCAGCACTGCTAACCTGGTCAGCACACCAGCACTGCTAACCTGGTCAGCACACCAGCACTGCTAACCCTGTCTCTTATACACATCTAGATGTGTATAAGAGACAGGTGCATGACATCGATGAAGTATGGCAGNAATTTCATGGACAAAGAACTACACGGCCAACATTAAGTCTCACATATGATGCTGATTGCAATTATAACACCAAAAACAGACATATAATGCTGAGTGTGAATATAACACAAAGTCTCACATATAATGCATAGTGCCATGGAGCCGCCTATCATGACGAAGAATTGTAAAGTATCTGTGTAGATAACAGCAGCCAGGCCGCCCACCGCAGTGCACAACGCCGTCAGCAGCAGCAGAATCACGATGCAGATGTAGATGTTTCGCCATCGCAACGCTTGTTGCAAGAATACTGCACCAGAATATAAATTGACCTGCAACGAAGAAATGTAAATTTTAAGTTAACCCATGCAAATTTAGCAAGGTATTACCCGTTTTCTGTAATGCGCCAAAAGGATGACGTCTGCGTGGGTAATTTGTTCTTTGTTTTGCTTGCCGTAGCTACGATACTAACAATTTACACCGATAGCAACGAAATCAATGAGAACAGAACAATTAAAGTTCCACTCAAACGGCGCAGCAATAGCAACGATTCAACAAACTTGAGCTGACATTGGAACGAGGAACGGCGAGTCACTTCTGACAAACCAAGACCATAAAATATTTCAGTGTTTTGGACACTGCAACCAAATGGCGCCCATGCATAATCATGAGCATTAATCATTGCATAACAACATCGACAACTATTTTAAGAAAAAGGCGAATCCCATAAAGAACATAAAACGGACGATTTGTGATTATGTTTGTAAGTATTGCATAACAACTACGGCAAAATAATCAGATAGACGTTCTGGTGACACTGCACCATGGTCACTAGGTAATGTCTTGTGGTCGGCAGTACTTGAACATAGATGCACGAAACCTGTACTTGACTACGAATTTATACGAATAAATTAGAGAACCATTGACTAAATCTAAGCAGCCGGTTGTTATAACTGCATCGTTCAAGAATTGGACAGAAAATAACCATCTAACCAGCCTGACTAATAACTAGCGGTAGCCTTTACAGCAAGTGAGATAAGGCGATAACGAGGCACGCGATCGCTCGCAGCGGCAAAATATCGCAGACGGAAAAAAGCTCTTAGGCATTGATGGCACAGATGCCGCTCCCAATTCCTTAGAAACGACCCCTTCCTAGAAACTAGGCAAGTGAGAACATCGCGCGCATGCGCTGTAAACATATAAAAGCGTAGGGGCACCACAGATGTTAATGTATACATAGTCTGTAAGAACATGTCAATGACATAGTCTGTAAGAACATATCTGTTCAATTCACAGTAGAAAATCTTTTCGCCTTTTAATTTTTTTCGTAAATAATTGTGAATAATAAAATGGATTTTTAATGGAGTTCCTTATAGAACTAGCAAATTGGAAGTTAAAACGGATACGTCGGAATGCAGCTGAATCGTCACAATTAAGCTGCTTTGCAAGAGTTCAGTTCTTCATTCGGCGGAATTCAGTTCTTATCTGTTCAGTCGGCGGAACATCGAGTTATGCCAAAACACTAAGTTATGCGTCGCAAACACTAAGAACGCTTGCACGGAAGCAGCCAAAACTATACATCATACTATTTTTCATTTTACTTATTGAATTAATGAGATAAATTAATTGAAACCAAATTATCTCAGTTAGAGATAAGCCAATTAATTAGAGATGCCCAGAAGTTGTCCTCCTGAGTTACATTGTTTTAGCCTCTTGTTGAATAACATAAATAACAATTATTATGAATAACAAAACATAAATAACAATCAATTTATAAATAACAATAAATTTACAAAAACAGAGAAGTTTAAAAGTTTAAGTAGGAGTATATCTTATAGCGAAGGAGATATTTCCTAACATTTACTTACCGATATTTTAGTGAAAATATAAAGAAGCATGGAGAGCACAGTGAGCCAGCTCCTGATGCGCCTCCCGCCGAAGCGTTTGCTCATGTATTCCGGCAACGTCGTGACCTGCGAATTAATAAAATTTAATCGAAATTTTTGAATAACTTCTCAATAATTAATGTATTACGATGCCAGGTAATTTTTTTTACAAAGAACGGAACTGATAAAAATCTGCACTATGATGGTTCAGCGGTATTGGCACCATCGACAACAGGCATGTAAGCTAAAATTTGAAAATGTATTTTAAAATAAATGATCAGTAATTTCTTCTATTGTGAGTAATACCTCAATTCGATGAATTAAAGGAAGATATCGATGAAAAAATTTCTGAAATTATGTGATAAAAATAAACCCAGGGATGTGTCAGTCTCACTCACTTCTTAAAAAAATGGACTGTAATGAAACTTTCGACCGATATTAGAGACCTTATTCGGCAATTATCAAACTATTTAAAGAAAAATTTTCGATGAAGACTTTCTGATGCTTTACTTTACTTTACTGACTTTTAAAATTTATTCTTACCTTGCTGGCAATGAAGACTGGCAGGAAGACCCAGCCCAGCAGTTGAAGGAGTAACAGCGCCTGTTTCATATACAAATAAACTCACTCAACTGAAAGAACTAAAATCATGCGTTGAAAGTCAACACAATTCTGAGATTGTATCAACATCTTATTAAATTTTAATTTCATAAGACTGAATATGTATGAGTTTGAAATTGAAAGGGGGCTTGATGGAATAATTTCAATATTCGATTGATGGTACAGTGGCACCTAGACTATAAAAAATATAACTCAGTACTCACTGCAGTGAGTGACAAAGAGCGCATTTTCTCGTCGACGAAAACGTGGTCACGGACAGACAGACAGACAAACGGACGGACATGACGAGCACGATAGCGCCTTTTTTCCATAAATGATAAATACGCTAAAAAGCTTTGGCAGACCACCAATTCCGTTATCGATCAAAATTTCAGAACAATTTTTAGCTAAAAATCCTCCGATTATAAATTTGAAAATGGAATAACCGTTCGATAAGAACACCTTCATTTGTTGTTTTTAGCGCGTGTCTACGAGATCAGTACGAGTGATCTACGATCGGAATACCATTCACGCTCATTGCTTTGAAATTCTTACTTCGCGTTTGAAGTTATTCTTACTTAAATTCTAGGCATGAAATTTAAAAGCCAGCAGTAATAGTGACGATTCCAGTGAAAAAAAACTAACAAGTACCAGTGGAACATGTAATTCACGGTGAGAAAAACAAATATCCGATTCCGGTGCTTAATTAGGAACGAATAATTCTAGTTCATTTCACTTTGTAAAAATATATTTATTTAGTGCTCAGCCTGCACAATTTCTCGGTTATATTTCCAGAACATATTGTAAAACCTAATTTGTCAAATGCTGTCAAATATTGAATATTATTCATCGTGCCGAACAAAATATGCACTCAATATCCAAAAGATAAAAGTAATGAACATATGACGCTATCAGGCTATGATGCAAACAGATTATTTTCGAATAGATGTCTTGCAAACCAAAAAATTAGTTTTGTTTTAACCCTAAATATATTCGTGAAAGCGCTATTGTCAATGCTGCTCCGTACCATTACACAAAATTTTCCAGCAATATTTATCTCCAAACCAAGAGCACAATAAGTAAAAATTATATTGCTATTTGAAGGCACACTCACATTGAGTTCAAATGCTCCAACGGCGATACCAGCAGCAGATCCAGAGCCTGCTAGCCCAATGAAGTGTTCCGAG